ATTATCAATTATTCATTTTAATCATTTTTATCCTTATTTACACTTTCAGTTTCTCACACTAGAGAAACTATTCAGTATTTACACATGTGTGTTCTATTTATTTCACTTGAGTATGGCCTCAAAGGGGAGCAGTAAATGACTCTTGAAATGGCAATGTTGGCTTGTGGCTTTGCAAACCATGAACAGACTGTGCACAAGCAATTTAGAAGTGTTTGAGCTTATACAATAACAAAAACCTTAAGGGATAATTAACATCTTATTCAAGAAACAAGCAGGAAGAGAATGGAATATTGGAAATAAGGAGGAAGACAATTGCCTCACTGTGCGAAAGAAATCTAATACACAACAGTGGGTCATTGTTGGCAAGGGCACCTAATATGTACTAAAAATGCTTTCTCAAGAAAAGTTATATTGAAATGTTTTCTTATAGGAATAGAATAATTAATACATGTGCTATTTTATTCACAGAGAATCATTAATAAAAAACCTTTAATCTTTTATATGAATATACATTTCTGTTTAAAAAAAAATCCATAGGGGTGAGAATGGTATATTACCTCCTTATTTCTGCTAGTTGTACCTAAATACTTTAATATAATTTAACATGCATTTTGGGGCACACCAAAATAAATTTATTCCTCATCTCAAAGAACTTATACTATAGTAAAGATGAGAAAGCTGTACACATAACTGTATTATCAAGAAGAAAGCCTGAATTTGATAATAATCATAAAGAAAAATGAAAAGCTGGAAGAGGGATCTGATACATAGGTATGAGACAGTGGTTCTGAAATTTGATTGTGTGCGAAAGAATAATCAGGAAAGCTTGTTACAACTCAGATTTCTGAGCCCACCTGAGTTTTTAGCAAGTTTACAAGTGATACTGATGCTGAGGGTTATCCTTTGAGAACTCTGGATCTGAGACTGGTTTTCAGTTCTGGCTCTACACTCACATCTTCTAGGGAGCTTCTAAAAAATTCTTGTGCCCAGGGTTCACTCCAGGACCAAAATTTTTTTTAAAGTTATTTTATGAAGGTGAATCTACAAGAGTAAGACATTGAATCCCAAGGGTAGTTTGGAGATAGAGGAAAGCAAATGCTGGTGAAGGGTAAGAAGTCACAGAAAAGGGCAGGTACAACTGCGCATAAGTTAGAAATGAGAACTTGCCCCTTAGATAAAAGAAGGATAGGGTGAAGTCATGAAAGATCTTCAGTGCCACTCGAAGGAGCTTGGGAGTCCTTTTGGAGGCAGCAAGAAATCCTCAAAGTCCTTAAGAGCAGGAACATGACATACTATGGGAGCAAAATCCTGAGATTAATATAACACTGTGCTCAGAGGCTAGGAGATTAGTCAGGAAGCTACAGCAACTGTCTATTTTGTCAAATTGGTGTCTAGGGATATATGCTCAGGGCCATGCATATTCTACACATATGCTGTAATTTTGGATTCTCCATTGAAAGATAATTGCAACATAGATTTTATCAGTGATAAAGGCAACCTCTCTTCTGTGACTTAAGCTGCATAAGCCACTGTTTGTTACTCAGGAGGCACATTGGTAAGAATTAAAGATTTTTTTTTTCTTTCTCATGAAAAGTCAGTTTATTACATGCCTTTTAGCATGTAATAAATGATCTAAAAAGGTAGCAGGGCAGTCAGAATTATCAGGATCTTCAACTACATTTGAAGAGGAAGAGAAAATTAATAATCAAAAAAGATCTTTGGGATTTGAGTCTGAGAGTTTCAGAGGATGATAAGAGTGCTTGGCAGGTATGTGTGAGGTCTTGAGTTGAGTCTCTACTACTGTAAAATAAGTAAATAAATAAATAAACAAACAAATAAATAAATAAGATGTGTCAAATAATTTCAAATATGGATCTGTCAACAAGGTAATGTGTAAAATAGAGGAAAATACATATACTAATAAATACTAATGTTTAAAGTTTCTGAATTGTAATACATTTCCCCTCTACTATTTGTGGTTAATTTTCCCTGCTATTTATCATCCAATATTTTTAGAGACAAAAATGTTAAATGCAAGTATCAATATATCTATTTGAAAGAACATATTTCCCAATACCAAGCATGTAGCCTGTGCTATCTTCATGCAGTGCATACTCTTCTCATGAGAAGGTGCTGGCTATTTAACAGTACAGGAAGGAATCTATTCATCTTTAATTCACCAAGCTTCCTTGTGGACATCACTCTAAAATGTAAAGATTTTTCCCCTGGAAATGGTCTACTATATATTTCATCCCTTTCCTTTATCTTCTTTAGAAACAAAATATTATGAAAAATTTAAAAACATTTTTTTCTTAATTATTTTTATTTGGAACAAGTATAGCCTTTAGGATACTTGAAACATTAAACATTATATAAGAATTTATATTAAAATAATTTCACTAATAATCATCTAATAAAAATGTCACAAATCTTTTTCATATGTTCAAAATACAGAAACTTAGGTTAAAAAATAAAAACTAGAGGTCACATACCTGAGCTTCTGGTTGTACTGTTTGATCTTTTCCAATGAGGCTGCATTTATCTGGGCTTGAAATTCTTCCACTGAAACATTGTCTCTATAATAATATCCTTCCATGCTCTCCAATGCTGTGTAAACAAGACAATATATTTTTGATGCAATTGTATAACTCAATTTTTCCATATTTATTGGAAAAATTTTATTGACTATTAGACTATTTATGAAATAGCACCAAGTCTGATTATAAATGCAAGAAACTATTTAATTAGTCCAAAAATGAATGAACAATGTTCTTCTGCTCTCAAAATAAGCATCAAACATTTGGTGATTTTTCTGTTAAGTAGGCAAAGAAAATTTCTAGTTGAGATTGTCTTCTATTTTTAAAATATTTGTATGCACTGTAGAAGACTAGAATATCCCACCCAAAAATATGCCTCTTTGGCATAAGAATTATTTTCAGCTCATTATTTTGAGGAAGTGAAAACACAGGAGAAACTCTGAAAACAAAGTAGAAGTTACTCTTTCGTAAGGGAAATTTGTATCTCCAAAGAAATTTGCATTTGTAAGGGTAACTCCTTCTTGATATCAGAAAAGAAAGATGACTAAATACCAAGAGACTGATCAATGGAGAAGGCACTGATTTCAGTCAACAAAACAAACATGATGCTGTTTACCCTGCTCTTTCTGGTTCCCTCCTCCTAACTGCATCTTCCTCCTAGTCTTTCTTTGTTTCAATAGATACAAGGAATATAAAAGTTAGGTAGATCCCTTATCTGCAAGGATTACTGTCCAAGACCTCCAGAGGATGCCTGAAACTGTGCACATTACAGAACCCTGCATATATTGTGTTTTTCTTGTGCAAATATAATGCCATTTTAATTCTATGATCACACACTATGGCTGTAATTTCGCTGTTTGAATGTGACAATGAAATTGGCACAAATTTCTTTTTTCTTCTTTATAATTTAATGGGTAGAAGATTTATTCTCCCTGCAGATCTTGCTAAATTAAGAAGTTTATCATTTAAAGGAAGCCTTTTTGGGGGTTCCCTTTAGTATATTCCAATTATCAGCATCACTATTCTTGTGCTCCAGAGCCATTGTTAAGTAAAATAAGGATTATCTGGACACAAGCACTGGGAGTTCACAACAGTCTGCAGAGATGAACTAAGTGGCCAAGCCTAGGTGCTGCATACAGGCCTGGGTACACTAGGTTCTAGCTGGGTTAAAGGACACTGCAGAACTGAGATTAGTGTTCAATTCAAAACTTATGAATTATTTCCAGAATTTCTGACTTAATATTTACAGACCATGGCTGATTAATTGGGTAGCTGAAGCCAGGAAACCATTATATTTAACCTTAAGTTCGAAGCTCACATTTTTACACGAGGTATACATGTCATTAAGCTTCTGTTTGTTTGTTCTTACTAATCTTTTTTTAAAGGGTATATTCTTATGATGAGCTGTCAAGTTATTACAGGCAGCTAAGTTAGATAGAAATGAATATACATCTAGAGAGGGACTAGGCCCTAAAGGAAGTCAGCACAAAAAATAAAAACATCAGGATTGTGACCAGAGGCACATCTGAAGAAGATGGGGCCTCAAGATGAAGATGCAATGTCCAGGCCTCCATGACTCCCTAAGGGATACTAGAATTAGAATCACCTGGTCCTGTAAGCCCAGATAGGCATCAGACACCTAGGTAGGTGACCAGAGCATCTGGACCCATCCCTTCCCCAAAATGTACCCTTCCCCGAACCCTTGCTACATGATTCTGTTCCCTATTGGATCAAGATTAGCTAAGAAGCTATACTTGCAACCCTATAAGTTGATTGCAGTTTGACTCACTGTGCATCCACGTTGTGACTTTACTATATAAACTACCCTTGCCAAAGGGCCTCAGTGGCCACCCCATTTGGGACCCCTCCTGGAAATCCAGGAGCTATTCTCTTCTAATTTCCAATAAAATTCTCCTAACTTCTTCCTTTGGTTCAAGACTTCATCATCGTTGATATTGTTGAACCTAGAACTTGGCACATTTGACATCTAATGGGTCAGCAGTTATATTTCTCCTATATCCTTTTGGAGATCCCAGCAAGATAACTAGAAAGAAGTAAGAGTGCTTTTGTTTCTTGGCACCTCTAAATACTTTGACTAGATTTTGGGTTGTGACTCCTCAGGTAACAAAAATTGTCACCTGTTGTTTGGTGATTGCTTATGCCTTTTGTTGCTTCTGTATGCTTTGTTTTTCTTGCCAAAATGATAAAAAGTTTGAGCTGTGATGGCTTTTATTTGTATTTCTGATTTGTTTGGTGGTTACAAGATAGCTTGAGTCCTTACTACATACAGACAGCTTTTTGGAATGATTTTTGCCTGACAGATTGCAGTGTCTGAGGATTCAGCCCGAGGCTATAGGACAGGTTTTAGAAGTTCACCTCGGTAAGGATGTTACCAGTATCTTTTTCTTTCCAATTGGAGGCTTCTGAACCTTAAAAAAAAAATGGGTGCTCACCTATAAGGGCACTGAAGATAGGTATTCCTTAACAGACTACATAACTTCCGTTCCTGGGTTAGAAGGGAATTCGAATTCATGCTCATCCAGGAAGGCACACATGAGGGTTTTGGCTGATCTGGTGCTTGGGCAAGAGTTTCTCATAAGACTGGCAAGAGAGACTCATCCTGAGACACAAATGGAGGAACCGATCTCTGGGTGACACCACACTGAGCTACTTTCAAAAGCACACCTATTTATGAGCCCAAAACAATATAGTTTAAAGGTGCACCTTCAATATGTCCTTTGATTTCCTTTTTCTCTCTTGCTCTCTCTCAGAAAGTTAAACAGTCATTCAGGTTCTTTAATTACTAGAGTCAACTGTAGCTTCTGTCTTTGGAGACATGTTTTACTGAGGACTGAAGACGCACCTTTGGTCTTGAACATGAGAAATGGTGAGGATTTGATTCTTGTCCCTTGCACAGGGTCACTCTGCTATCTTGTCCTTGCTCTGAGAAATAACGCATTATACAGCAGCAGCATTCTGTCTGAGGCAATTAATTCTCTTCTGAAGCTGCTGGATTCTAGGACCAGGTTTCTAAAATTGTGATTTTCCCCTTAACTACAACCCTTCCAGGTGAAGTTGGCCTTCACTATTAACTCTGACTTATCCTTGGGCCATATTCTTAAAAACTGGTCTAGATTTAATCCTCAAATGTAAAAGTTTTAGTCCAAATTTATCAGCCTTTCTGCCCATAGGCAGAACTGGAAATTAACTCCCTTCACTTCCCTTTCTCCTCACGAACGCTGCTCCACAGGGCAGGCTGACTGGTTTAAAGCACAGATGAGTTCATTGATAGAACAAAAAACATTCCTAGTGGCCCTGAGAGTTAGTAACAGCAGATATTAAGGGACAGCCACAGGCCCCAGTGCCCAGAGGAGTGCCTCTTGCTTGATATGATTTCTCTCCATAGCATGTTGCCAGGCCGGCCACAAGCTAATTTAAATTCATGGTAACAGTAAAGATGTCTTTAAAGTTGATAACTATTTGGGTATTTCCATTTGGATTGTCAGACATGGTGAGATAACGTCAAGAATTAGTTTTATAAATGCAATGTCTATGTAATTTCTATGTCTAAAGCAATATGGTTCTGAAGATATTGAGATGCTCTTGATTAAACTTACAAAACTAGATTTAAAAGCTAAGATTCTATATTTTACTAAAATACTTTCTTGTGTTCTCATTGTTAGGCTTTTAATTACCAAAAAGTGAGCTTTAAGAGAGTATTTGAATATCAACCTATAGTTTTCAGTAATCAGTTCATGACTGGTTAAATAAATATCATTTTTTATGACATAACATATATTTAGGAATATATACATGTATATAGTGAGTTTAAGCTTTACAGTTGTTTACAGAGTTAAGATTGTGTAAGTTTAATAAGACTACATAGGTTTAACATAGACAAAGTAATAAATAGGTGTTCTCTTTTATACAATATACACTTAGACCGTAAACATATAAAATGATCAAAATTTGCCATCTCTTTAAATTTGGTCCTGACATTTAAATTTGATCTATGAGATGCACGCATATTCTGGGTAATAAGTCTATTTGTGGTCATTAACACGGTTTCCTAAATTTATAAGAGCTCTAAAAAGGTCTTTAATTCCTGTTAGTATAATTATACCCTATAAAAGCTGTTAGAAGAGTCTAAAAAATTATCTTGAGAGTAGAAACTATAGGTAGGGATTTCTACATAGCGATGATACTAATTATTGCTAACCTCGTAGTCATGACTCACTGGTTGGAAATCTAAGGGCAAAGGCCTCTATATGAAAGTAAAACTCTGGTTTCTGCTCCTTAGTAACTGTGTAACTTTGGGGAAGTTAATTAATATCTGAGATCCTCCGGTTCTTCATTTTTCATGTGGAAAACTGGAATACCTATTAATTATAGTTACGGGGTAAAGAATTTGATTAAATACTGTAATACTATTAAGAGAGCCCATGAATATTCTTATTTATTGAAGATGAGTTTTATATTCCAGGCAATATGCCAAACACTCTACAGACATTATTCAGTTTCCATGAGGTATAGATTATGCATTTATGTGCTTAGCTAAACAGGAAAGGTGGGGAGCTAAGAGGAGGGGTCAGGCAAGAGAAGTTGCATTGTGACTTCAGTTCAGAAGGACTGAATAACACTGGAAAGGAGCAACGGTGAAACTGTGTCCAGCTGTGATCTAACTTTTATAAAGGTTTTCATGGTTCGACTTTGGTCAGACTGGCCAGTCCTGCTCTAAAATCTTGTTACAGAATAAGAACAATTATATAAACATAATTGAAAATAATTTCAGTAGATACTTTTATCCATCTATCTCTACTCAAACCTGGTCTGGATTTCTCAGGCTTCACTCAATCTGATGAATCCTATGATTCTTCCAGGGAGCTTTATGACCACAAAGAAACCTGTGCACCCCTGTGAAATAAACAACTTTATCCCTCCCTGGCAGAGCTGTAATGAGATCAACTGCTTCCCAGGCTTGTTTACCTTCTGTAACCTCAACTACAGAAATATTTCCAGTGTTGCTTATTTCAAATCAGATTTATGTTTTAATGCTATGAGAATTGGAAAACCTAATGTTTACTATAGCCTTTCTTTAAATTACATTTTAAAAGTGATATTATAGTCACTGAACTATATTTAGGGATTAGTTTTAAACTGGCTTTTGCCAAATTTATAAAATGGAGATTTCTTGCAAAGATAATCTTTTTCCCAGGCACAGTGGCTGTTGAACATAATTATTCATTTATTTAAAGTAGAGGATCATAAATGTAACAATTTTTTTATAAAAAGATATTTGGTTCCATCTGTCATATCAGTAATGATTTCAAAGACAGTCAAAAAAAGAGAAATAAAGGAAAATACATGAAGAAACTGGAAACAACTCTAATCCCTAATGAAACCCTGTAAAAGTTAATGTTTTAGATCAGAATTTTTCTGTCTTCTCAAACTGTCTATTTTTTTAAGGACATTTGATATATTTTAAGTTCAACTATTCTCCTGTTATCTCGAAAGGTCTATTTTTGCCCATTGTTTTTCACCTTTATTCTTTTTCTTACAGAATCTTTATTACCTACAGTGACTTTACCCATAAATCATAATCCTCCAAAGAGAAATTTAAAAACTTTTAAAACTTAAAAACTCCTAAAATCATCATTTCACTGAAACTTTCCTCAGCATAATGTAGTCTTGACAAGAATCTGTTTGAGGTAGTCACAGTTTTCAAACTGTGGCTACTTAAGGGAAGGATCTGTCTTTTAGAATTTAGATTTTTAAAATAAATATGTATGTGGTACAAAGCCAAATTTTTACTTGGTGGTCAATTTAGATTTCATATACCTGCCTACTCTTCAGTTGTACAGCTTGATTTTATTTTCTTACTCTTCTCATTTTTTATTAGACCATTCAAAGTCCACAGCAAAACTAATGCAGTTCTTGAACCGCACCCCCCCCCAAAAAAACTCCTCATGGTATCATTCAAAGAAGCTGATATAATCTTGTGATCACATGTATGCATCCTGGGAAACCTAACTATGGCAAAAATCTTCTTACCATATTACTCTTCATTCTACCACCACTAACACATTTTTTCAAAAAAGGTCAGTAATACGTATTTCCTGATAAAAATTTGAAATATAAAATGTCTTTTAAAAGCATCAGTTCAATCATCCAAAGATGCAGAAAATATTTCACATACATATAAGTTTATATGTGTATATATAATATATACATATAATAACTGAGATTATACTATATTTTAAAATAATCTGCATATGTATACTGTCAAACTTTTTCTATCTCATAAAATATGTTAACTATACAATTTTATTTGTTCTACTACAATTTAACTTTTATTTAAGCAAATTCATTTAGTACTTTTTGTCGTTGTTGTTGTTGTGTTTTGTTTTTGCTTTTTTTTGGTACCAGGGATCGAACTCGGGTCCTTGCACTTGCGTAGCAGGGGGCAAAACCACTGAGCTAAATCCCCGGCCCTCATTTAGTACTTTTAAAGTTATTATTTAAACTACTCATATCTTATTTCTCCCTTGTAAATAATGTTATAAACCTATTTGATAAATATTTAAATCATAGATCATTCTTTCCTTCCTAAATATTCTCAGAAGTATATTACCTAAAATTAATACAGAATTTTCCAATTAACAAAAAAAATTTGATTGTTAAAATTACATTTATTTTAAAAATTGAGTATGTGAAGCATAATAAGGAAAACATTTTACCTTGTGCAAAAAGAACAGGGTGAATTTTAAACCCTCCTCCATTTTTCAACCGTTGAGGCAGTTGTTCAAAATGATAACTGTCAATGTAGAAGTAAATTTTCAGAGCTTGCCGGGTTCCTTCTGCCTGATATGTAAGAGGTACATCTAAAATGATATTAAAGGTTGCATTACTCCCTGAAATCAGGATATTCTATATAGTATACATAAAATATCTAAGGTAATTTTTTTAATCTTTATGAAGAATACTGAAAATTCCTAGAAAATTATATACTGAAAGTGCTCATGTGTATCACATTCAGGTTAGACATAAAGTGCTAGTTCAGTGAAAGAATATTAAATCAGGTTCTCATTAGCTAAAACAACAGATTTATTACTGTAGTGAACATAAAAGTCTGTAATAGGAAACATCGTTTATGCTTGGCCATACCAGATGCCTCACTTAACTAAATGAAGAGTTCAGCTACACATGGCTTGGTTTCAGAATCTCTTAGGGTAGCTGTTTCGTTCATATTTTAGCCAAAATTAGGCCTTGGGGTACACTTCTTAAGTAGTGTGCAAGAAATTAAATACATAGCAACCATTAACAAAATTAGCATGGGCTTTGTAAGCTCCATTCCCTGAGCACCAGATCAAACATGAATCACCCTCTGTTGATGCCCTACAGTCATTAGAAATTACCTTGTAGCTATTTTTACAGATACTAAATTTAATTATTTAAAAAGTCAAATATTTGAAAAGGGAAAACACTATACTGTAAAAGTATTTAACGATGATATCACAATTCCTCTTCCTTTAGGATATGTATCTATGACAAGTATTTCTACCTCTTTACAAAAGAATGTAAAATTTTCCTAAAAAGCTAGAATAGTCATCCTAACTACGTAAAAATGAAGGACAAAATATAGTAGGCATTTCATATAATTTTAAATTTAATATTAAATAAACTGATATAAAAGTAGTGTTCAAAGTCAAATGCCATTTATGATCATAGATTTTAGGCTCCTTATTAAATGTATCTTATTAAATTCTGTATATCAATAAAAAAGACAGTGCATTAACATTTACACATCTCTTTTTTTGCCATAAAATAATGCTTTTTAATTACTGTATTTTTAAAATGGAACACATGAAGAGATTGGTTTAGGAAAGAGGACAAATACATTTCTTAGTCAAGGGTTGTAAATTAACGGCATTTTAATGATTTGGCAAATCTTTTTGCTTCTGTTTTCTAAATTGAAAAAGATGCATGGAAACTATAAATAGTAGACATACACACTAAGTATTTGCATGTTCTAGTTTTCTTTTCAACCACTATCATAAATATTTTAATTTTTGTTAAATTCTGTTACAGTTTGAATTTTTAATGACTCCAAAGGTCTATGTGCCAAAGGGTTTGTCACCACGCTATGGCACTACTGGAAGGTGGTGGAACCATTAGGAGGTGGGGACCATCTACAGAAAGTGAAGTGTTAGGGGCTGCACCCTTGAACAGGATATTGGAATCTGATCCCTTCCTCTCCTTTTGTTGGCTTCCCAGCCACCATGAGTGAACAGCTTCCTCTCCTAGGCAATCCCTTGCTATGATGAACTGGACACAGGCCCAAAGTCAACAGGGCTACTTAACCATGGACTGAAACCTCTTAAATCATGGCCAAAACACATTTTTTCTCCTTTTAAGTTGCTTACCTCAGATATTTGATGAAATGAGGGAAAGCTAACATAAATTCCACACTCTTACTCTTTAGCATCAATGCAACTAGTCTCTTTTAATAAATGGATAATGCTATAGAAAGGAACATAATGATATAACAGGTGGAGTCTCATAGGACGAATATAGAAGAAATGAAGATATTATACTAGAAACTAAAAAGCTAAATCTTACTTAAAAATTAGCAAGTATATATTTTAAAGTGCTGGAAAAGCTACAAGTATTATAGGGCTGGGAATTTAGCTCAGTGCTTTCGCCACCTGCCTTGCAAGCGGAAGGACCCAAGTTCGATCCCCGGTACAAAAAAAAAAAAAATACAAGTATTATAGTTTGTGAAAAAAATGCAAACTGCCTCAAAGTATATGTTGTATCAAGTGCAAAATTTATGCATATAGGTAAAAAATATCTTCAAAAATATTAACAAATCCAATTTAATAATGTATTAAGAAGTTATATACCACAATTAAATGGAATTTATCCCAAGTATGCAAGCAAGGCTGGCTCAATGTCTGAAAATCAGTTAGTGTAATCCACCAAAGTCAAAAGTAAAAAAAAAACAAACAATTCCACAATCACATCAATAGATGCAAAAAAAAATTGACAAAATCCAGCACTTACTGATGTTTAAAAAAAAACTCAGTAAGTAAACAAGGAATACAGGACTTTCTCAATTTGATACAGAATACCTATAAAACCTCCAGCTAACATCATCTATAATGATGAGAAATAGGACTTCCCACTAAAATCAGGAAGATGCAAGGTGTTCCCTTTCACTACTACTTTTCAATATCATACTGGAAATCTTAGTTCTTAGCATGAGAAAAACACAATATCATTTATACGTGTACAACTTGAAAAAACTGCCAGTTTCTGATAAAAACATCAAAATAAAAGAAAATAAGTGAAGAAATACCCCATGTTCAACATTGTCAAGATAATCATTTCTTCCCATTTTTACCTACAGCTTTAATATCAAATTCCAATCAAATTCCAAATTATTTCATAGATGTCAACAAAATGATTCTAAAGTGTATATGGAGAGATAAAAGCCAGAATAAAGCTAGTGATGTAACTCAGCAGTAGAGTACTCACAGCACTTGCAAGGCCCTAAGTTCCATCCCAAGCACTGCAAAAAGAAAAAAAGGGGATGGAGGGAAAGAAAAGGGAGGGAAGAAAAGGGAAGAGAAGGATGGAGAAAGGAAAGGCGAAAGGGAGGGAAGGAGGGAGGAAGGAAAGGAAGAAAGGAAGACCAACTCAGAACAGCCAACATAGTACTGAAGAACAAAATTGAAGGACAGACATTATCTGACCTCAAGGATTACTACAAAGCTACAGTAGTCAAGACAGTGTGATATTGTACAAAATACAGCCAAATAGAAAAATGGAATCCAGAAACTGACCCACATAAATATATTCAATTTATTTCTGAAGGAGAAGCAAAGGCAATACAATGAAGCAAAGGTAGTCTTTTCAACTAATGGTTCTAGAACAAATGATATCCTCATGCATATATATACATATATGAAAAGTTTTTAAATCCTACAAGCTAACAGGAGAAAACTTGGATGACCTTGAGTGTGGTGACCTTGAGTGTGGTGATGACTTTTTAGAAATAAAACTAAGAGCACAATCAATAAAAAAAAGAATTGATTAGCAGGACCTCATTAAAATTTAAAACTTTGGCTCTGTGAAAGATAATGTCAACAGAATAAGAAAACAACAAACGTGGAGGAAATACTTCCAAAATGACCCATCTGCTGTCAGCTAATATATACAAATAAATCTTAAAAACTCAACAATAAATTTTAAAACTTTTGGAAAATGTGCACAATAATAATGTAATTGAAAATGTTGCCATTCTCTTGTGGAAATTTACCTGCTAAGAAAAAAAAAAGGTGATGATTAGAACTACGTAAAGATTAAAGGCTTCAAAACCGTTATTCCAGGAGGAAAGTCCTCTGGTAGCACAGTAGAGGATTCACTCTAGAGAGGACTGTCCGTGATGTCTTCTCATTCCTTTAACATGACAGCAAGCCACTGGAGGAGCCAATGAGTTTGAAAATAAGTCTGTGATGTTGAAGTTGTTCTTTTGTCTGAAGTGCCCTTCCCTCATGCTTTGTGGGGTTGGGTCTGGTTGAGTTCATGTGTAGCTCAGATCTCAGTTTAAAAGCTACTTCTGCAGAGAGCTTTCTTTCCCCTAAAGAACCACCTCATCTTTTTTTCTTTATGCATCTGCCCATGTGCTTCACAGGATTTGTCATGTCCCAACTATCTTTATAGTACTTAATGTGTTACTGTTTTCTCCAACCAGGTAGTCAGCCCCATGAAGCCACTTTGGCATTCACTGCTCCAGGCATGACAGATAGTGGGGACACAAATATATTTATTCTCCTAACAATTACTTTAAAACTGCCCATTTCACCACTGAAAAGGAAAAGATCTACTGTCATGTGATTCTCCAAAAGACTAAAGATTTTCCACAAAATTAGTTTAATTCCATACAGTCTAATCATTTAATTTACTCTTCTTTCACTATATAAAGGGATACAGGAAGTTCCTTGTACCTTCCTTTCCACCCAAGTGGTCAAGCCATTTATTCCTTTGTATCTCTCTCTCTACTATCTAAGCTTCCTACTAATACGGACTTAATTTTACTTATGTACCATTATATTCCTAGAACTTATCTCAGCACTTAAGTGCATTACGTGTATTTAATAATTATTTCTTCGGTAAAAATGTACTGCCTTAAATCCAGACATTTGAGTTCTGTGTGCTTGGCAAGCCATAATTGTTTAGAATATCATTATTCTTTAATGCAAAAATAAGACTATGAGTACTGCTATGAATATAGCTTTCTAAAGCTTTCTTAAATCTTAATTAAGCCACTCAACACTGAGTTTGCAGATGAGAATAGGGCCAAGAACTAAACTCAGGCTCCTTGAGTCAAGGGTCTCTTCACACTTGTGACTGTTAAGGTCGACTGTAAGCAGAGTGGATTATTAAAGCACACTTCTGCGTGTGTCTAGGTAGGTCACGGAGGCATGTCTATGATCGCTTTTCTGTTTTTCTCTGGTGTTGTTCCCTGCTGTGCTTCCTGGACACCATGAAATAAGCATCTTTGCTCCACCATGTCCTGGGGCCATTATGTTTCCACCTTGAAGCCAGCTGACTATGGGTTGAATCCAGTGAAATCATGAGAAAAAAGAAATCTGTCCTCCCTCCAATTGTGTATATCAGGTATTGGGTCCCAGCAACAAAATGCTAATGTACCACATGCTTCCTGCCCTGTACACTCAGACCTTGTCTCATAGACTCACAGCCTACTGGTCTCCATTCCATTGGTGCAGAATTCATTAGTCAATCTGATGTCTCTGCTTCTACACATACAGAAAGGTGAAACTACCAACAGTGACTAATAAGACTCTAGTTTTCTTTTGGACTTAAGACATGATGACCCTGCACAAGGGTAATTCTCCTCTTTCCTGAGCCATCTTAAAGTGAGAACTATATTCCCATCATTACTGTTTTTAATTTGCCTGGAATGTGTAGTCATGGGGCAATGAAGAAGTCAAGGTCATGCCTTGAAGAAACACATAAAAATGTGTTGTCAAATGTATGTCACAATGTTGTGTTTGTTACAGGCATGGTTACATGTACATACTAACATTACTTACATGGACTCAGTCACCTCTATATTTAGGTTCCAATATGCCAGAGTGAAATTTCTTACAGTGGATATGCAATAAGGAAATGTTTTATAAGGCTTAATGTTGGTTCTTCTACTTGTTCCACAGACCATTTACCAACAATGTTTCATTGGAACCATGGGAAAGAGACCTCTTGTGAGCCTATACTTCCTCAGGTCAAACTTTAAATATATATTAGGTTTTATCACAAAATAGTTTTCTCTGCATTCAAAAAAACTATGCCCACACTATTCAAGTAAATGAAAATACATCTATTCATAGCCACAGAAGACCACATAATTTGTTCAAATAGTATCCTTATGAACTAATACCCTTGCCAGAAATATAAAATCTCTCTTGAATATAACCTACATTTCTAACTTTGTATTTCATGTTCTTGTTCCCTTTCTTGTTTGCCAGAGAAAATGAAATTTTAATAAAAATCCTGTTTTTTTTTTTACCTTTGTAAATTAATAGAAAAGGCATGGATACTTTTTTTTTTCTTTTGGTACCAGGGACTGAACTCGGGTCCTTGCCCTTGTGAGGCGGGCGGCGGAACCACTGAGCTAAACCCCCGGCCCCAGCATGCACACTTTTTAAAACCATCTTCACAGGCACCCTTTTAAGACAGTCACTCCGATCTCTCACCCAGGTCATTCTGTTGCTTTCTAACTGGTCTCCAGGCCTGTGCTTTTGTCCCTGGAATGGTCTATTCAACACAGCAACCGAATACAGCCTTCCAACATGTAAAGTACACTTTATTGTTAATCTTCTCAACGGCTTGGGAAGGAAGGCATAGTGGTTGCTTTGGCCAACAAGCCCTGCATTGTCTGACCTTGTCTTTGTTCTTGTTTTCCTCTCTGTCCTCTCACTTGCTCTATGACAGCCAAGCAGGCCTGCTTGCTGCCCAAGAGGATGCCACATGCCTTCCTACCTCAGAGTCCAAAGAATCTGGGGCATTCTCTCCAAAATCTGCATGAGTCACTCTCTTAGTTCCTTCAGGGCTTTGGGCTCCCTAATGAGTCTTCCTTCCCTGCCCTGTTATGTACAACTTTTCACTTGCCCCTTCATCTTTATGCTTTAGTCTCTTTTATTAGTATCTTCTAATTCATTATAAAACTCACTTGTTATCTGACATTATTTTCTCTCCCCACTTAAATGTACTTCATCCATGAGAAATTTCAGTCCATTCAGTTCTCTATTGATGCTAACAACTAAAATAGTCTTGGCAAGAAGTATGCATTCAAGAAATCTTTGGTGAACAAATTAAACAATGATTACTTTTAGAGCGTGGGTTATAATATATAATACATGTATTATACTAGACATTGGGAGGATGAAAAATAACTTTGCCTACCCCAGAGGAAACTTCTATCTTCTACCATAATGACAGGATTCTCACACTTACAAAAAATAAGAGACATATAAAAATAACGGAAAACTGCTGAAGATTTCTTCAATGGACAGAAGGCATTTCAGAACTATTTGTGATGATGCTAAAATAGTCAATGAACAATCTGAAGAAACTGCAGGACATGACCTTAAACCACAGGTATCGCTACTTCTGCCTTTGTCAGGTTTAGCGACAGACAATTGCTAATTCAAAAGGTTACTTTCCAGTCCTTAAATTTGTAAGTTAAGTAGGTATAAAATATTAATATCAAAGTTATACCATATATTATTGTCTGAGGATAAAGAAATTCTATAAACACATAATTACTTACTTGCAATAAGTGGTTCCTCTTCTGATGGTTTAAAGTAAAAAGAAACCTTCTCCAAATCAAATAGTGCAACCAGTGTATCTTCTAGCATGGCTTGTTCATCTGTCTACAAAGAAAGAAAAATAACATATAGCAAAATATGATATGCTGTAAAATGTCAAAACATTATATAAATCCACACCAAAACCAGCTTTATTTATGCTTTATTTACATACAAAACAACAGTATCAACAAATCTCAAAGAATTTCCGCCCAAAATAAAATTAACAAGTTCCACAAAGTTACATGTTCTATTTATGATTTTTTCTCTTTCTTTTTCTATATTGTTTGGACTTTCATATACACCATTTTGTCACTATTTTGTGCTAGATTATAATTATGTTGATTTCACTTAGAAATAAATCTACAAAAGCTATTAATTTCTGAACTTTCATAAAACAGCTGAAAAGCAAAAACACTGCTTTATTTAAAAGCCACATTACATAATAGCCATCCTATTTTACAATAAGATAATTTATTCACTGTTCAATTTGCTGTTTATTAGAACTGCGATAAAAGCAATTTCCATGTATGTATGTATTTGTCTTCCAAAGAGCTTGGGGGCAAGAATCATTTTCACCTCACTTGTGTTTTTGAAGTCTTAGTCTAAAATCTTGTGAATATGGTATCTAGTTTATTTTAACCATCTGTCTCATTTTAACAACACGTTTTTCCAGATGTGACAGGTAAGACCCAGAGGTGGGAACAAATTCGTGTGCATCTCAGCAATATCATCCTTCTGGTACAAGATTTTGGCCCCATTAGCAGTTTAATGCATTCTCTACAGGATCTTGTATTAGTCTCATAAAGAAAGTATAATTAAGGTTATCATACACAGTTTACCTTTTAAAGGTAGCATTTATTTCATTTATTTTAAACAAGTTCAACATGCTTCACAGATGTAACAAGTTGCTCTAAGTTTCTATCATATTTAAGGGTAGCATTAATAGAGGCTGAAGAAAGTGTGAAGAATTTTCATTGTGTGAAAAAGAATCAGTAAGACAGCCCTGGACCTCAAAGAAGGACACCATGTAAACAAATAGATGGAGTTAACTGTTACCTTTGCACCTTGGTATGGTGCTTAATATACTTCACAGTATATAGTAAGTGCTGGATAAATGTTTATTGTACTGTTATTTCTAAAATCCCTTTTAAGTACCAGAAGAATACCCTGAACCTAAAAAGGAAGGACATGACTGAAGGGTCAGCATTTTTCTGGCTGGAAGAAATGTTCCAAACAGTCTGGCCTCTGAGTATTATAGTACCAGCCATGTTGTTCCAGCAGCATAGCCAAAGCCATACCCATGTGAAGACTAGATGTTCCCAGAGCTCAGGGAAACCCAGACCCCAGGGGCTACAGCTCCCACAGAGTCACTGATATTCCCAGGTAGGTTTTATATTCTTAATACAGAGGCAGAAAGACTACAGATGTCTTCAATTGTTTTGCTTTTTCAGTAACTTCTGGGTATTTTAAGATAATTTAAAAAATAAGGGATTCACAAGAGCCGTTTTCAAAAATGAACAGTATCACTGAGATATACTTCGCATACTATGAAATCTGTCCATTTAGAATGTACAGCTCAGAATAAACTAAAAAGTTTATTCTCAGAGCCTAGCAGCTATCACCACTGTTTAATTTTAGAATATTTTCATCACTTCAAAAAGAAACATAGCACCCATTAGCACTCACTCTCCCATTCTTGTTTCCCCAATTCTTGGCCTATGCAGCCACTAACTCTCTAAAACCTACCTCTTTTGCATGTTTCATGGGATCAAACAATATGAGGTCATTTGTGGTGGCAAATTTCACTCAGCATAATGCTTTCTAGGTCCATCTGTGCTGCGGCATGTATCAGCTCTTCCTTCTTTGTTATGGCTGAATAATATTCTATTGTACGGGTATACCACATGTTATTTATCCGTTCAACAATTGATGGACATTTGGGTTGCTTCACTTTTAAACTATTATGGATAATCTTTCTAGGAATGTATAATGTAAGTTACAGTCGACATAGACATTGGGTGTCATGTGATTCCTTACCAAGTTTGGTGACAGAAGTGACTGAAAGTGAAAAAGAACACCAGCATTTGCTATCTGATCAAGCCACCTTCTGCTGGCTTCCCAAGTTTCCATCTCATTTTCCTTGCTGTTATCAAACATTTGGTTTAAGGCAGCCATGAGCTGCTCAGAGAAGGCAGAGACAGTGGCCACGAGACTTTGGCAGAAAACCATGTCTCTCCGGAGCTGCGTTTCACTGTCTGTGATGGAAGAGAACAGAACAGCTTTGAAAAACGTCACAGGTACAAAAAAACATATTTACTAAGCATTTACATTCACTGGTATTTCACCTTGTCATCAATTCATGAGATGTGAAAAATATGAATGTGAATGTATGAAGGAGCAAAGATATTTTAGCAATTATACATTTTACCAAACACTGAACCCAAAATATTTAAATACTAAAATATTTTTTCCCAATCGATAGTGACTGTCTTCTTCAATCAATAGATTGCTTTATAAAACATGAGAAAAAATAGCACTTTGATTATTTATATTTTCTTTACTGATGGGATACAATTTGCATTTGTTACAAAGACTCAAATTCCAGTTTCTTCAGTTTGTGCTAACAAATCAAATTCAATATCACTAATACTTTAAAAAAATCTACTAAACCCATCCAAATATTAATGTGAAATACATACGAGAAAAAAATATTTGCTGTCCAATTGTTTGTAATAATTAGCAAATCTATATCTCCCAAATTGAGACATTTGATTTAATGAGCAATAAATACATCCAAATTTATAGGAATTTGAATTCTAATTATTTCTTTGACATAAGTAATGGAGTCATAATTTTAGCAAATATTGATTTTTAAGTGTTTACTTCAAGTCTCATTCTGCAGTTAATTGGAGTTTTAGTAGACTCACTGTGAAGATGTGCGTTCCTTGTGAACTGACATTTCTGAGCCAGTTTTTATTTTTAAAAGGAAAAGAAGCTATATGCTGGGTTAACTTCTTTCAGTGGCTAGATGTGTACAAATTACATAAACTACATGAATTTTAGGCCATGCATTCTGCACACTGAAAAATCATGTGCACTAGAAGAACAACATAGAAAAAAAAATCTCCTTTGGAAAAGTACTGAATATTTTGAAGGCTTTAGAACCTTCTGGAAAAAAAAGCATTGACAATATTACTGTAAAACAGAGAAATAGATGCTACCTTTTTTCAGTGTTGAGTTCTTGTTTTACTGACAGAGGCATAGTTTTTACTATGTTTACCATGAACATTGAACATTCATTTTTAGTAGCCCTCAAAAACATATGTACATACAACATAGTTGCTGTGTATTAGTTTCATTGTTAGTAACATCTACTCTTGAAAATTTTATTGGAAAATATATCAAACATTAAAATATTTAATTTTATACTGATAAGATTCACTTGTTAGGTTGAGCTATATGAACTTGCTGCTTTAGTAGGTCAAAATGTTTGAAAATGGCAATTCCGTGCATTTCAACTAAACTAACGTGTTAGACTTTTCTCTTGAGTAGTTCTATATCACGTGCCCTATGGTACTTACTAGACAGGAGAGAGTGTTAAAACCTTTAAACTTGGAATAAACTCTGTCCAATTCTCAAGAAAAAAATCAAAACACTTATTTCGTTGTGCACAATTTATAACAGAATAGAAATTCAATATTTACAAATGAATGGATGAATAAAAATAGTAGCTAGTAGAGGTAAAAAATGAATTAAGTAAAAATAAATGTATTAATTCATTCTCAGGCTTCTTGAAATCTCTGCCTTTAGTTTGATTTAAGAGGGTAATTTAGATAGTTTATTAGCTTCAATGTGGAGCTGCAGTATTGAGGTTTAAGTCAGAAACTAAATAAGAAAAAGTTGTCTTAATCTCCCTTTTATGTTCTTACTTTGCTTTTCATTTGTCTTATAGTCAATCAGAAAACCTGAGTGAAAATTTAAAAATACTTCAGTAGCTTTGGCAGGAATACTCCCACCTATAACCCAAGAATAACTTCGTAAAATCTAATTTGAAAGAAATTGCTGGTATTAAGAATGAGAAGCAAAAGTGTAAGGAAGGAAGGTTCTGGTTCTACTGCAAGTTTTACTAGAGATTATAAGGGATAATAACTTTGTTATTTGTAGAAATAATTCTCTCCAAAATGTTTTTGAGAAGAAATTTGAATTTCTTCTTTTTTATTCTAAAAAGAATGATTAGATATTTAATCTACTCTCTATTATTATATATATTCTACATGCACTAAAGTCAAATTGAGATTTTCATTTACCCTCATTAACAAATCACAACATTCACTAGTGTTTCCAATATACAAAACCTATTAATAAATATAACTGCCACATAAAAGTTATATCCATTCATTAATTCAAAATTTTAATAATGAATGCCCACAGATATTAAAGCTTGCATCAATTATTGGAGCTTTAGTGAAGTCTAAATTGGAGACTCAGCCATGTCTGCTCACAATAAAGTCACAGAGATACACAAACAAGATATCTTGGATCACAATGTCATTTAAATTTCAAACCAACATATTTTTAAATGAAAGGCACTTAATAAATCCTCAAGACTTCAGGAAGTGATATGCCTTTGGCACTTTTACTATTTTCAACAAACAGTAGATTACTTGTTTGCACAGACTTTAAAATACATGTATCTCAAGAGCTTTTTAAGAATTTTTAAACAAGTTATAATGTCATAGCAAATGATAAAGCTAAAAATTGTAGAATAAACAAGGTCTTGGATACATATCCCCACTTTGTATTTACAGCTTCTCAATGTACCCCTTCCCTTCATTCATCTCATAGTCTGGCATTAATCTTCAGAGCTGCAGTGAGAATATAATAAAACAATAGATCTGAAAGTAACCAGAACAAGGATGCACACACCTACTCTCTAAACTACACAGTACTGCTCAACAGTCGTCAAATATTAAACGCCCTGAGAGCCCATATTTTGTTTCTGAGCTCTGTCAGCAGGCCTATTCTTCCCCCTCCATCTAGCAAACTTTAAATTATTGCTCAAAACTCAACTTATTGAACTACTGACTCTTACTGAACTAATGCAATATTCTATCTCTCCCCTTGTGAAATTTCCTCTCTCCTCCAGGAAATAACCACAATTGGTTTCTGTTACCACAAACTTGGGGCATCCCTCTACCAGAGGGATAATTACACAACACTGTGAGAGTTCCTTTAAGCATTTATGTTCCTCTAGGGGCAACCCATGCACCAGAACCAGGAGAAGTAGAATATCTTGATTGGCAGCTCCTAGGTGTTTAGCAAAGTACATTTCTGTTATGTGTGGGTGGGCCATGAAGACATGACCTGAGCTTATATCAGTTCTCTGGCCGCTTTCACTCTGACATTGCTCCCCTGCTCTGCTTCCTGGATGGCCTTAGAGCCAGCAGACCATGGACTAAATCTTCTGAAACAGTGAGCTAAACAAGATTAAGTTGTAGGTCTCAGGTATTTTGTCCAACAACAGGAAAAATGACTAATACTAGGAGATGCAATATACCCTTTTCAAGTGAAGAACATAATTTCACAGCCAAATATATAGAATAACTTGGTTACTGTTTTAGCACCATCCTCTATATAAGTGGGAAAAGAAAACAAGCAAATGAAGTAGGAAAAAGAATCATAGTAGGAACAAAAAAAGGAGATGAAATCAAAGTAACCATCGCCCAGAAAAATCATTTGAATATTAATGAATAAAGCAAAGTATTCCAGGATTGCTTCTGGTATTGGCAAAACTAAGTTTGAATTTCAAAACTGCCACCAGCTGTTTTATTAACTTGCTCACTAAGACCTAATTTGTCTAAGCCTTGATACTCAAAACTGCACTGAATGAATGCCATGTAGTAGTTTGCATTTATGACTTATCTTGTTGCTGAGACAAAATACCTAAAGTTAAAGGAGGAAAAGTTTGTTTTGGCTCACAGTCTGTAGAGGTTTCAGTACATAGTCAGCTGGTTCCAAGATGGCAGAGGGGCACTGCAGAGGAGAAACAGTCCATGGCATGGCAAGGGCAGGCAGGAGGCAGCCAGCAGTGAAGTTGCAAGTAGCAAGCAGCAAGCAACAGAAGCAGCCCTCTTTCTGTTCCTTATACTCTATCCAAGCACATGCCCAGGGGTGGGTGCCACTCAGCTAGCATGAGGCACTCTTAATCCCAGCATCACACACCCTCAATCCAGCCACCTATGAAAAATCCCACCTATGACTACATGAGGCTTTGGGGGAACATCTAGACACAAGCTGTAACACTAGTTATTATTAATCTGCCTGAGTGTCAACTTATTTACCTTTAAAACTGTGAACACAATAATATTCTCATATAGAGTTTGCAAGGACCCAGTGAAATCCATGAAAATGGGGTCCTGGAAATATGTTAAATAAATGTATTAGTAAAGCTCAAAACTGTGAGATAATTTTATTTTTGTGATTGTAGATTCAAAAGTAAGGCAGAAACTTGTACAATTAAAGCAAAAATCAACCAACCAGCAGAAAATCCCTCTTGGTTAACTTAGCTTGTTTATCCATTTATAAGTGAAAATTTCCAAGTGTAGTAGATTGTAAAAGTGGTCACAAATTCTTCTCTATCTAGACCCTTGCAATATAATTTTGAGAATCTTGCCATCAAAATAAGAATCTCAAGGTAAGCAGGGTGATATATACCTATAGCCCTCACTATCCAAGATGCTGAGATAAGATGACCACAGGAACTGCAGGCCAGCCCAGGCAACACAGCGAGACCCCATCTCAAAGAAACAGCAGAATCCTTGACTCATCGATTTTCATCTAAATCTGCCAGTTATATGCCTTGGCCAACAGAGATGTTGAGCTCTTGCACACTCAAATCCACCTCATGAGTAAGCCCAGGCTAGCCTCACTGATGATGACAGGCATGTGGCCCAGTCAGCCTTGTACCCCAGTCATCAGCTATCCAGTCACTACATATGTGAGTGATGTCACCTAGGTAACCTATGCCTAGCCAATCTACCACCTGGCTGCAGATACATGGGAAAACCCAATCAGTGTCAACAAAACTTGGCACAGATCATCAGAACCAGTCAGATGACACTAGGCATATGAGGAATGTTAAATGCTTATTGTTTTAAGACACAAAGACTACAAGTATTTTTAAACATATCAAAAGCTAACTGAATAACAGGTTATTGTTCACCTTGTACTTTTGGATACAAATTCTTACCAAAATATAAAGGAATTATAATGGTACTTGTTTGTACATTTATATACACACATTTGAGAAACAGATTAAAATAAAAATATGCTTATCAACATATTTCCATCTCTTTGAATCTAAAGAAAAAAATATACAGCTACATAATAGTAAATTGTTCACTCTTATTGGATGGCATGTACTTGAGTTTTCCCAATCTCTATGATCTATATCCTTTTTAAATGCATCTTGTATAAAGATCTTGCTGAAATATATATTTTTTCCTTTTTCACTGAAATCATTTTTCATTCCTTCTTGCAACAGATATTTGTTGAATACTATGTGCAAACTATTATTTTAGACATTTCTTGGTGATCAAAATAGATACACTTCCTGCCTTTATAAGGCTGACATCCTATCATCTGTTACGTAGAGTTTGAGCAAGTCTTTTTTTTTTTTGGTACCAGGGATTGAACTTGGGACCTTGTGCTTGCGAGGCAGGCAGCAGAACCACTGAGCTAAATCCCCGGCCCTGATTAAGTCTTTAATTACCATTCAGTGTAATTTTTCACTGCTAATAGCTTTGCATATTACAATTGTTTTATATGAATGAGATTTGTAAAATGCTTTCCTACACTTTTACTCATAAAAATTAAGTCTGTATTGCAATAAATCATATTTGCACAATTAATTTTACCTAAATCTGTTCCCTTTCTAATGACACTGTTTAAATATTTTCATATTTTTACTAATAATTAAAAGTGAACATATACATTGTTTTTGTGAAAACTATGTAAGTAGTTTTTAAAATATTTAAGACTTTAGAAAAGGCAAGGATCATATATGCCCATTTATCTTTGTAAACAGCTGAAGGCATTGCCTTTATATTATTAGACTTCTAAGGTCCGGGACCATGATTGCTTCAAATAATAAATATATTGCAAATGTTACCTGAATATTCAAGAAGAGCTAGGAGTATTCTACACTTCACCTCTGCAAAGAAAGGAAGAAAGAAAAAAAAAAACTTCAGTTAATTTTTCACTTTTTCTGTGACCAACATCACATTTTAACTGGGTGATAAAAATGAGTCTGATGTTATTACATTAGGTAATAAAAATCCATTTATTTGACATGCTACTCTTGCCTGTTTATATAAATTTGTAAACCCTAAAACCAAAAAAAAATGCTTAAACCCTAAAACATCTTCCATTTCTGACTTAAATGAGATAATGAAACACCATTCAAATGATGAATATTCATTGCTCTGTTCAATGAATTAGACATCCATTTGCCCCCAAATGGTTAGCAGTTCACTTTCAATAGGTAAATCTACAAACTTACAAACTTCCTTCTCTGAGTCCAATATTACAAATATTCTGAGAAACAAAAAGTTTAAACTGCACCCTATTCTAGAAAGGTTCACAAAAGAGTTAGAGAGACGAGTTAACTGATAAGAAGTGCTGGAAATACTTCAAGAGCATTAAATTTTATTTTTTAATTAAGTTTATTGGCACATTTTAGGTATACAATACAGTTACGTTCATCGTTGGGATCTTGTACCTGCACATGATGTATCTTGGTTCTTATTTTTTCCCCCTTCCCCTGCCCTCCCTTCACCCCCGCTTCCCTTCCCTATTTACAAAGACTTTGTTTCCATTTTTTCCCTTTTCTCATATTTTTTCTTTTCCCTTCTTTTCTTTCCCCTCCCCCTCCCACTTCCCCTGCTCCTTTAGACCTTTTCTTCCTATTTCACAATATCAATTATACATTTTGATCCTCATTTACACTTTTAGTTTTTCACACCAGAGAAACTATTCAGTATTTACACAAATGTATCCTATTTATTTCACTTAAGAGTATGGCCTCAATGTGCATCCACTTAGCTATAAATGTCTCTAGTTTCTCATTCTTTATGGCTAAGTAGTACTCCATTTTATAGAAAAACCACATCTTCTTTATTCAATCTCCAGTTGATGTGCATTTGGGCTGTTTCCAAGTTTTAGCAATGACAAACTGTGCCGCTATAAACATGGGTGTGCATATATCACTGTGGTATGATTCTTTTAATTCTTTGGGGAAGATACCCAGCAGAGGCATAGCTGGGTCAAATGGGACTTCTAATCCTAGTTCTCTGAGGTATCTCCATACTGATTTCCACAGTGGTTGCACCAGTTAAGAGCATTAAATTTTACAAGCGAAGCTGGAAGAACAAAAAACATGTTGAACTAAGAGAAAACTGATCTACTATAAATTTATGGCTTTAAAAACCTGCTAAATTACTTTGAGTCTCAACTGGCTCATTCATAAATGATGATAGTATCAATCTTACTACAAACTTTACAAGCCCGAGTAGAAAAAATAAATACAAATATATATTAAAACTGTTGTTATTCGAATCTAAACCTACTTGAAGCTGAGATAGAATACTAAGTAAGACTAGAAAGCATTTCATAAAAATTTGAAAATTTAGAGCATTAGGGAGAAGGCATAGAAAGTAAAAGTGGGACACAGTGCTAGCAAAGGAGTATACTGGAGAATAACTAACAAATATTAAATGATGTAGCACTGATTTTATGATGTCATCAAGACTGAGACTGCGACGCGATTAGAAACCCCCACTGAAATGTAGCTTGTCACATCAGGTTAACGAGCTCAGAGTTTTTAACAGAGAACCACTACAAGGCTCTGGGGCCGAGTACTGAAATCACGAACATACCTTAAGAAGATGAATATATTAATGGCATGTATGAATCAGAAAAGATGAAGACGGGGAGATGAGCCAGAAAATCATCATTATGATTGCAGTATTATGCAAAAGGCAGAAAATGAAGAACTATGTTTCAGGACACTAGGACAAATACAGAAAAAAAAGAAAAACTATGCAGCTGAAAAAAATGGGAGAGTTTGAAAGGACTATAACTTTTATAGGCAGCAAAGAGTTGAAAATGTGTTTATTAATGGTGATTGTGGGTTACTCAAGTAAAAATGTCTCCAATGATGCTAATATTCTCCATACACTCAACCAACTATGAGCAAGAGAGACACCAATATTCACCACCCATATCAGTCAGTCAGTATGGATGTATAGTTATCGTTGACAGCTGCCAATTCCAATTTGAGGTACAAAGAGTATAAAAGCAGGACCTGAGTTCAAAATATAAGGTTCTAAAAATAAATACTTATTAAAATATTAAGTTTTCTATCCTACATTGGAAGTTTATATCTTAAAGATAAAGTTCTTCACATACAATAAAAAAGGTTTAAGACTGCTTATTCCAAACTAATACCATATTTGCTCTAAAAACAAATGAATTTATTTCATCATTAACAAGAAAAATTCTGTGATGATAAGAACAACTGTAGTATTTACAACTTCTAGGAGTACTATGTTACTGGCATCTATTCAAGAATATTTACCTTTTACTTTGTAAAGTATATGCTCAATCTCCTAAACTTACCTGTCTTTTAAAATTACACTTATGATTTTTTGTATTTGTTATTTTGGTGAAGGTTAATTCAGAATTTTCACTAGATGTGATGTTATAAAGCTCAATAGGTAACCATGATATTAAGCCATAAAGTAAAAACAGAGGCAAGAAGGCCAGTTGTGAAGAACAAAAGTTTTCATCACATAATAGAACTGCTGTGATTTCTTTGGGGAAGTATTCTATACTTCTACCATCCTTTTCTCTACCAACCTGAAACAATATCTGGGCCATTATAACTGAGGATTTTTTTATGTACTTAAGACTTAGTAATCACAGAACATATGAATCATCCCTATCGTTTAATAAATGAGGAAGCTGAGGATAAAGGAGTTAAGTGACTTGCTCAGATTCCATCAGATATAAGGAACTGTTTTGTCAGTATAGTATATAGCTCTCTAATCTGCCCTAAAAATGTAGTTACTAGAGTTATGCTAATACCCAAATAACATACAAATGATTGAGGAATACAAATGTAAATAAAAGTATGATAGTTATCATTCATATTTCTCAACCTTAGTAATATCAACATTTGGGGCCAAATAATTCCATGTTGTGAAGGACTGCTGTATATATTACAGAAAGGTTAGCAGTATTCCTGGCAGTAGGAACCAGTGGCACATTCAGAACTGTGACAACCAAAAATATCTCCAGACGTTGCCAATCACTAACCTAATCACTGGGAAGAGAACTGCTAAATTAGACAATTTTTAAATTAGATGAGTTCCTCATTTCATATTTTGTACCATAATCACTGGGTACTCTCAATTTTCTACTGAATAACTCTGACCTCAAATAACATGCAATCAGACCCAGTGGAACTGTCCCCATGTTTTACATCTCCAATTTACAGGCTGCACCAATTATAGGATGGCATGTAAACAATGTCATGACGATAATCAACTATGACAAATACTTCTGAAAAAGAAACTTAAAAGCTAATGATGAAAAGTATGTAATTATTTTTATTCTCATACACATTTACAATTGACTTTTTAGACTTTCCAAAACATTAGGCCTCGTGTCTCTTGTGAATCCTTTGAAATTTTTCTATATCAGAAAAATATTAAAGGCCCTCCATATTCCATTTGTTTTTCCAAGTATCAGCCTTATTTTATTCACTGAGAATATTCTCCATGATACTCTCTAAAATGTTGTGATCCTTGGAACACAAGGTTCTGCAATTTTATTTCTTCTTTCCCTCCTCCTCCCTCACCCATTTAGTTCATTTTATTTTCTCACAAAATGAAACACTGCAAAAAGTAATGAGGCATTACCCACCTTTTGGTTTAATGGGTTTTAAAATGATTATTGCTGTTATCATACAATGTTCTTTGCTGTTCACACTGACCTTCAACAAATTTTCTGATGTTCTGAGCAAGAGCCTGGACACTGCTGGGAAGATTCCAGGGATCTTGCTTGATGTGAAGTCTTAACCTTTTTGGACAACTCAGCTTTGGTTCCATTTCTTGCTGAAATTCTGAATAAATACAGAAAAATCTTTCTTTGGTCTCAATCAATTCCCAAAGAGTTAAGCCCCTGGGCTTCAGAATTTTCTTTCTCATATTACTGTCATGCTAAAATAGTATCCTGATAGAAATTTCTTTAGCTAAATCATAGCAGAAAATTTGTTAAATTTTAAAAGTCGAATCTTAATATTATTTTCTTACAAATGTTTCAACAAAGAAGCAAATTTAGATGAGCACCATAAATATCCTAAACTAGATGTCAGAAAGTGTTAGCTACCTTTCCTGTTCTGTTTTGCTGTTCTGTTCACAAATTCATATTTGTAGTTTCTTTCCTCATCACTGGGATATAACCAAGTAGGCAGTATGCTTGGTTTCAGTAAAACTAACTTAATACTTATGTAACTTTAATTAACACACTTGTTTGGCCTGGTCCATGCACATACTAAACATTCTAAACTCGCAAAGAAAACTGAAAGGCTTAAAGGATCTATAATAAAAAAATCTATACGTTTTTGGTGTTGTGCTAGAGACTGAATACAGGGCTTTGCATATGCTAGGCAGGCTTTCTGCCACTGAGCTACATCCTCAGCCTTTTATCTTTTTAATTGCATTTTGAGGCAGGCTCTCACACTAAGTTGTACAGACTGGCCTAAAACTGGTGATCCTCCTGCCTCAGCATTCCAAGCAGCTAGAATCATAGTCATGCACCATGTCACCAAGCTACTGATTTTTTTAACATATTAAAAAATTATCAACATACAAGTAGTATTCTGTGAATTATGAAGTATGAAGAATCAGAATTTTTCCCTGTGTGATAATTTTGCTTCATGACTATATTATCTATTCTTTTGTTTCCTGATTTCTTTGTTAGTCTTAAACCTTACCTTGTAATCCTCGACCTGGTGTGAGATGCTTGGTTTGCTCAAAGGCTCTTACAACAGCCTGGCCTTTTAGGAGATTGGTAATTGAATCCACCTATGAACAGCAGATTTATGAGAATTACATTCTTCTCATAGTATATAATATATATTCCTAAAAGTAAGTCTCATCAAATACTTTTTCTCAAAGAAACAATTATTTTTGAAACTCTATATGCTTATGAAATCTATATTTAAATAAAACAGTGCAATAAACTTGCCTGCCTACCTGCAATGACAGTCCTTATTTTACCATACATTAATACAAAATATCAATGTACTTGATGAAAGACAACAAAAGACCACAAGCTATTTCAAAAAAGCTAAAACTTTTACTAGAGTCCTTTTCAAAGTGGTTAAATATTTCTACACTACAAACTTTATTTTTTAAATATGGAAAACACCAACATGAACATGAAGGCAATCTTGTACTTTTTGAAATTAGGAATAATGTAGAGCAAGAAAAGTCATAAAGTATTCTGAAAGTCCTCCCAACAAAAAACCCAAATGATCAAGAAACTATCTGTTTGTGTATAATGCTTTTTAATTTTCCAAGGACTGTAAAATACTTGACGTTCACAACAATCCTCTGAGTTGATTGATTGACCGAAGGAATTTTTGTTCTCCTTTTAAATGGAAAGGGGTGGAGCCACAGCTCCATACCTTTCCATTCTACTTTCAAGCTCTTTTGACTATGTCTCAGAAAGGGATTCCTGACAGTTTATTTTGTGAAAAAAGACCAACACCTTCCCCAGTCATACCTGGCTGAAGAGATGCTCAAGGCAACTGTGTATCCTGTCCTGTTTCTCATGAGAAATGCGAACACTTAGGGGAAGTTCATCACCTAGATGTAAAATAAACAAACCAACAACAACAAACTCATTCATTTCATGTTATGGTTAACATCTCAAAATAGTTTCATGTTAAATGAAATAATTAAACACAAGCCCTTATTCCATACTAATTCTTATGTTCAGAATAAGAATTGCCGAAGGTTGAATGGTGCTTAAGATGACTGAAAGCAGCGTCGCACAGAGCACTGCACTAACCCTCGCTACTGATTCTTCCAAATGGTCCATTTCCCTAATGGCTGAACAATTCAAACATATTGCATATTTAACATATAATATCTGCTTTTCTTGGGTGAAAAATATTTGTTCTTCACACACAAAATAAGATGTGTGCAAGCCATTTAGATCATCAGTGTTTTCTCCGGACTCCTCTCCCTTCTCCCATGTGTAAAAGGCTTGTTCCACTGCACCTGATGTCTTTTTAAAAACCCATAGTTTGAAACTTCACGATGCTGAATGTGTTTAATAAAATTTATTTCCTTATGAATTCTATAATTATAAATTCCTATAATTCTTCATAGTATCACAGAAAGATCAGAAAACACATCAGATAAAAATTAGTTTTCCTTTCTTTTTAATTCATTCTCTTTATAATTGATATTGGGAAATGGACTTTCTCAAGCACATTAAACTGAAATGCAGTATGTGTGGCCACCAAAAATGAGAAAAGGTAAGAATATATATGGATCAGAGAAATAATCCTCTAATGGAATCCTCGATAAGGGTAAGATCAGAGTGCACGTGCCGCCACCTAACGCACCTGAGTCCATTTCATCGCTGTGAAAATATGAGCTGCACTGGCTGCTGCAGATGCTCGTGAATGAGGCGGTGGAGTTCCTGTTGCTGTTGCAGTCGCTGAAAAGAATTCATTCCACATTACTTGAGTAAAGTATGTACCCAAGTCTCCTTGTTATTTCTTATTATGTACATTTATGTCCCCATTTTATTTATTAATGTTTCATAGAAAACTCTGAGGCAGACAAACCTGCCCAACTCAATTTATCTCATTTTTAAAAAATATTATTTTAAACTCAATCATTTCCATTTTCTTATATAAGTTATTCCTAAATGATTTTTTTTAAAAGTGTGATTATAAAACTAGGAGTCAGATCAAACATAAACATTTTCATACTCTTTCATAACAATAATTAGAGACAACGTTTCAATTTCTACCTTCCGACTCTTTCTGGTAGCTTAAATTATAACTTATTGGTTACATTATAGGCTCCCTTAAGGAGGTATCTTGTCTACTCCACCTGAGACCTCTGCACAGGGAAGAGCTCAATACTGATGAATGTCCAAGGACAGATGTTTAAAATATTTGTTTATGAATAGGGACATCATACAGATTTTAGAAATGGCACAGGAGATAAATTATTTTTTACCCCTCAGAATAACTAAAAAGGACTTAAATATAAATTTACATTTAAAATTTTTATCGTAGCCTAGTGGGAGACTGTGAGGGTAACTGTAATTATCTGATAAGTAGAACATGAGATAGAAAGTATTTTTAGACATATAATTTCCCACTGGTGAAAAATCAGATTTCTATTGAAAAGCATGGTGCTATCTTTCTAAGCTAAAAGTAAGTGAAATGGTAAAGGTAGTTAATCTGTACGATATATTCTTAAATCTCTAGGAATAATTAACTTTTGTGCATTTGTTAAAATCTTTCTTGGAAACAGAAATTAGGATACCAGAGTGACTAAGATACAAACTGTGAAGCCAGATCACCTAGCTGTGTAGACAAACTATACAGCTTCAATGAGCCTTCCCCTCTTTGTATGCACAATCAAATTACTATCAAAACTCACATGGGTTTGTAGTGAGGATTATTTGAAATCATCCTGCTCCCTCATATTTCTGCTAAAAATATATTTTAGTGGTAGAATATATGCTTAAAATGTGGCTTCAATTCCCAACACTAAAGTAAAAAAAAAGATATTTTTAATGCTAGCTGTTAGTTTGTATAACAATATCTCTGATAGGAGTAACATTAATTTAGTTAATATTTACACAATATCATTTCACTGTAAAATACTGCAGCAGACAAGAGTGAATAAGGTAGTTTTGCCTTTGATTAATATAAATGAAACACGAGGCACTGAAACTGCACACACAATGTAGGTGGCTGATCAGAACACTCCTCAATGAGCTTTCAATGATTCAAGGATTCAAAGAGAGGAAAAGCACTTTTGATGGAGGACGTTCAGTGGAGGAGGGCTCATATGAGAGCCTGGTAGGAAGATGACAACAGTTTGGAGTGAAGGTGCTAGGGGTTGAACTGTACCCCTTCACCCTATTCATATGTTGAGGTCTAACATTCAGTATCTCAAAATATGTCCTTGTTTGGGGATAGGGTCTTTACAGAAGTCTTAGAGTTAAAATGACATCATGAGGATGGGTTCTTAATCCGGTGCGACTACTCTTCTTATACGAAGGGAAACTTGGACACGACTAACATGCAGAAGGAAGGAGAGAGGTCTGGAACACATACACCCCTCAGAAGTAACCAACGTTGTCTACACATTGGTTCAGATTTCTGGCCTCTAGAATTATGACAATAAATTTCTGTTGTTAATAGAATAATGTTAATATAAGCATAATTTTCTTCTTTGCTACACATACCACAAATCTGTTCATAGAACAAGTCTCCCAAGTTAGGTCTACAGAGCTAGAGAAAAAAACCATTTTTTCCAAGTTACTCAGATTATAAGAGGGAAGAATTTGAAAGATTATGTTGTCCCATCATGCTTTGCCTGATGTTGGTAACAACAGATAATTATTTTGAAAGAAAAATAAACAAAACCAACAACTGAAAAAACTTTTCAAGACCTCTATGAAAAATACAGAATCACATTTGACTTTTTTGACAAAATGAGGTTGAGAAAATTAATGAATTACCTGTAAGAGTCTCTGTTGCTGATGGTGTCATGACCCGAATCTTCCTGCTCATCTCCTGCCACATTAAAGCACACTCGTTTGCTGTTTCTTTCCCCCTTCTCATTGTCACTGTCTGTTGGTGTTATACACTCTGATCTCTTATGCTCCAATTTAGGAGAATTTGTTATAGAAGACAAAAGGCTGCAATGTGATATTAAAAAAAAAAGTACATATTTTCCAACTGTCTGCTACAGACAACTACCTCTTTTATTTAATAGGATAGGCTCAAAATGCTTCTAAAGTCCTTCCATGTTTCACATAGAATAAATATTCTCTAGTATAAAAAGTAGATCATAGAAAGTTCACTTTTTCTACTTAAAATAACTGATAGTAATAGCACACAATTTAGACCAGAAAACTATGTTCAAACCCTGGTCCTACCACTTTAGGACACTTATAAAATGAAAATAATAATATCTAGCCCACTAGATTGCTGTGAGAACCTTATCTCTGTCCTCTCACCATACCACCACCATTGCCATCACAGAGAATAAGTGATAAGTTTTAAAGTACTAATCGAATATTAGATGCCAACACTAGATGTCCTTTAGTATCTTGACTGGCTTACCGTCAAATATTAAACACCCAACTATCCACTGACTCATACCTTGGGTTTTTCTCAGTTCTTTATTTGATAAAAAGTATATCATACTGTCAATCACTTGTCCCTACTCACACAAATAGGAATCTTGGCCTTACTGACTGTAAGGTGTTAGGCAGAGTCGCATTCAGTGTGAGGACAGGAGGAGCCGAGAGCTCCTCCAATCTCACTGGCAACCTAGCCAGAACAAAATGACATGTAACTGTCCAAAGGAAGCACTCTTGGACTGGACTCAAGGCTAAAATGCCACATTCAGACTGAATTGGTGTAAAACCTGACAAACCTGTTGACTATGAGGAGGTAATTCTATCACTCTAGAGATGGAATATTTGACTATTAGAATTTCTATTAGAACTGTCTAACTCCCAATGAGGCACAATTGGATTTTTAGTCTTTATTACCAAATAGCATGCTATAAAACTTACAAGATGAATGAAACCATATTTAAACCAAGAGCCCATGTATGCTTTTAAAGCCAACAATAATCTCATTTACTAAATATCTATGACTTTCAGTTCCAACCAAGAGCACAAATCTTGACACTAAGTTTTCCACTGCAATAGGATGCTCCTTTTGTTATTATAGGGGTATCAAAATAGTTTATACATCTTATACATGCCCCATAATGTTAAACTCAATGTTGTGCATTGAATAAATTCTCATTGTGATTTCACTAATTAAACACATTTATTGTTCAATGTGTCCTTTGTTCGTAATGCTTTGAAATAGCAGTTTACAAAACACAAAATTCCCTACTACCTTGGAACATTCCTCTGGAAGGAGATAACACAAGTAAACTTTATACAGTGGAACTGAACTTAATTCCTTCCACGATTCTGTTCCCAAAATTTGTTCTACAAGTATGCCTGCAATTTGGTTGCAATCAGAATCATAGAATGAATTCTGCTACTAGAATCATAGAAAGAATTAAGTTCATGAACTGAGGTACCACTGTAGTAAATCATACGATAACAAGCGTTAAAGAGAAAAATGAACAGAAAGCGTGGAACTGGCGCTGGGAATGGGGCTCAGTGGTACCCTGGGTTCAATCTCCAGCAGTGCAGAACAAAGCAAAAAGCACAGAACTGAAATTTTATATAATATTGTCAGGGAAGTTCTCATTGTGAGGTGATATTTTGGCATTTCATGGTTTTTGGACACAGTAAAAACTGGAGGAGCTATGTTACATTGCTATGTTACAAGGCTCTGTGAAGATATTCAGTAACTGAAAGCTATGAATTATTTTAAACACAGTTTTTGTATTTGGAAAGATACTTTTATGTCGTGTAAGACAGATTGCATATTTATTCATTCCTTCCACCCAAGAGATTAAAACATTAGGCTAACTCCAATTATCCGAGCTCCATACTGCACAGACAGATAAACTCTGAATACTGAAGAGGAGAGATATGCAAGAGTTCTCATTTTGCAGGGAGTCCTCTGTGCTTATGTATATTTTAAATTAGAAGTCATGGGGCTAAGCATAAATAGTTTTTTCAAAGTTATAAAAATTGTATTCACAAGTTTGGTTTTCCCTTTAAACAGCTGCAATCATGCTTACAGCAACCTTATGGGAATATGTTTAAGCATACACTGTTTCTGCAACAATAAGGCCTCAGTCTGTAATATTTTGTTTCTGTGTGCAAAAAATGTTTTCCATTGTTTGTTCTCATATGCAATATTAAGCTACCTACTAATAATCCATGAATTAAAATACTAAGCAGCATGCTGTTCCATATCAATTTCCTCCAAATGGCATTAAGATCTCTGTGCATAGTATATTGCATCTACTTCTGATTTAAGATAGCACCATCCTTATCACACCTAACATTTATTGAGCACCTCTGCCAGTCAGGACACCAAGTACTCAACAGGTAATAATTCATTGAGTCTTGATCCCCATTTTACAGGTGGGATGAGTGAGACACACTGTTACATACATACACTTTGTGAATTAAGCAGAAATTCCCTGCCTTGCATATACCTTACATATTCTGGAGGGAGTAGAGTGGTTATTAACATAGGCCCATTATTGGGAAGCACTCACAGGCATGGCTGCATGACTTGCAATAGCCAATGTAATGTGAGTGGACATGACACAGGTCACTTTAGGTAGAAGCTTCTATGGCAGTGCACAGTTTGCCTTGTTTCCGTCTCCTGACACGATAGTCAGAGACATCTCAGCTGAAGGGGCACATGCCCAGAACTCTGAGTGAGTACAGTGTGGATCAGAGATTATGGGGCCCAAGATGGACAGGGAGAATAATCTTGAAAGAAACAGGTGTTGTTTTACGTCTGTGAGACTTTCTGAGCTTCTGTGAACAATGAATGGGCTAAAAACCAGATATTGTAGACAAACCAGGAGATGTCTAGAGAAGAAAACCTTGTGTAGCTTGGGCAGAGGTGTAGCTACTATAATAGGATACTGGGCAGAGCTTTGCTATGGATACCCATCAGCTGACTCTTAGGTGCCCGGGAGGCCGGCCAGCCACACAGAACCAAGAAACAGAGGCTGCCAGGTGAGGGGCTCTCAGTGGCACTGAGGTGGTCAGTCACCTTCCAGAAACAGAGCTGGAGCTCAGTGCCATCAGTTTGGAGGGTGGTCAAGGGCAGATCGTGTAGGAACTTGTAGACCACAATAATACACTTGATATTATAGTCAGCCCTCCAGATCTGCGGGTTCCACACTCAAGGGTTCAACCAACTGTGGATTAGATACTGAGAAAAATAAACTACACCTATACTAAACATGTCCACTTTAAATTTTCATTATTCCCCAAACAATACAATAAACCACTATTTATACAACACTTATATTAAATTATGTATTATAAATAATCTGGAGATGATATATAGGAGAATGAACACAGCATAAAAGTGAATGTTCACAGGTTATGTGCAAATACCACATTATTTTATACAAGGGAATTGAGCCTCCTGGGATTTTTTTTATCTGTGGGATATCTTGTAACCAATCCTCTGTAGAAACCAAAGGACAGCTATAATCTCACAGCAATGTAACACCATTTAGTGGTTTTAAGCAGTGGACCAAACAATTCACTTTTATAGATCCTTATGGCATCTGTTGAATACAGAATGTATCAGAAAGACAGCTTGGAACTCCTTTGGTACTAGTGAGGGACAGTGGTGACTCAGTCTAGAGTGTAGAGCTCAACAGATTCTGAAGCATAATGGACAGAACCTGATACAGTATTAGAGGTGAAAGGAGAGGAAAGAAAAAGATCAAAGATGATACCTGGATTCTAGCTTGACAAATTGTAAGAGTTGGTGCATTATTAACAGAGAGGGGGAACCCTAAAGGTGAGGCAGAAGCAGTTTGAGTATACAGAAAATATAATTCAGTATTGGAAACAAATTTAAATTTGTGGTATTTGTGATACAACCCAGTGTTTCCTAATGCAAACTGAGGAACTTCAAGAATGAAGTAAGTCAATGCATATAATAGTGCAATGCTGCCTGGGTCAGAAGCACCTTTAACAGATGCTGGTTTTTCTGAAACTGTGCCCTCTATTTGTATATTCATGAGCAGCATGCTTGAGGAAACTTCAAAAGCTAATTCTACCACCAACACCACTAGTCCTATCTGTAACCCCCAAGTCACTAACCGTCTTCTGATGCAGTCTGCTCATTACTCAATCCTGGAGCATCCATCAGTTGCAAAATGAAATCTGTTTCCAAATTTCCTATGTTCACTAGCCCTCATTACTCTCTGATTCATTCATGGGAGAATACACACATCCTCTATTTAAAATCTCATCGAAGGTTTTGGACTACACATGAATTCTCTTTCCATTTATTTATTTCTAGTATTTAAGTGTGGTTAACCAGAAAATAACACATTCAAGGACAAATGTATTTAGCTTCTCAAAGTGAAATGGAAATCATAAAGCCTTGGCTATTTTGATAGTATCACTATATCTCATGCTACTGGACAACAAATTCATCTCTATCTTTGAATGTGAAGTTAAGTAGGCAGATTTAGCAAAATGCCTCTGTGTTAAAGGAAATTTTATTTATAGAAGAGTTCCCAAGTCTCTAGACTTCATGATAAGACAAGTTCCACATTAGGCCCTTCATAGGAATGAATGACTTCTAGAAAGGCTAGCGATGAGATCTTAGGAAGCAATTTCTCTTAAAACTTGGCAATGCATCTGAGGTCTGCATTTCCCCTCTGACCAAGAAAAATTACTGCCTGGTGAGAAAACTGTTAACTAGCTTTTTAGATAATTTGTTAAGCTTGACTGCATTGCAGCATCTCTGAATAGTAAGGGCAATGGCAAATCCAGGCATTTGGACAACTGCAATGTTTTTAAGTGACTATATTACAGATTGAATTATGTGGAACATGTTTCTATTTAGAATTAAATTATATGGTGTACACAGAAAAAAACAAGTTAGTTTTTCAACTATTTGCTCATTTCATGTCACTTTTCTAACAAATATGCAGAGCTGTGAACAGTCTTGTAGAGTAACAGAATGGGGAAATCGTAAGTGAAAAACAATCATTTTTAAGGAGTTTGAGATAACAAAATACCCAATCCTTTTATGCAATTAGTGTTTTAAATATAAACATTTTAAACCAAATAAAGGGACTTCCTTGGTTCAAATTTTTCTCTTCAGGTTTTTTTTTTTTACTTGAACCTTAAAAAAAAGGAAAGTCAATAAACTAACAAAGAACAAGGCTGGATAATGACCAAGCAAGGTTGGACAATTGATGCACTAGAGCTGTGATGGCAAAGCTCTTATGATACAAATAGCCCACTGTGGCACACATGCCGTAGGTTCGCTAACACTGCACTAGAAGCTGAGTCTCTGAAGCAGTATAAGCAGTATAAGCATGTGCATATCAATAATTCTGCCACTGACAAAGGACTCAGTAATACTGAGGATAATAATTTGGCCTGACGGGAAATACAAGATTAGTCCAGATGTTCTCCTAAAAAATCCTTTTGAGAGCTGACATCTACAGTTCAATGTTATTTATGATTCTTCTCTATACTTCTTACCTACCTAAAGGGGAAAAGAATTGGCTTCTAAATTAGAATCATCATGTAATAGAACCCTATTTACTGGGCTGGAGATGCGGCTGAGCAGTAGAGTGCTTGCCTAGCCTGTGCGAGGGCCTGGGTTCCATCCCAAGAACTGCAAATAACAAAAATAAAAACAAAACCTTCCTATTTATTAAATAAAGTAAAACAGAATGACATAAAATAGAAACTTCTCTGTCACAGGGTTTCCAAGATAATTCGAAGTACCGTGTAACTGCTTAAAAATAATCTCAGGCTCATTCAGCAACTTCAGGCTGCTCAGTTCATCTCTAATGGGGAAGTCTCAGTTTCATGTATAAAATGTGATAAGTAACTTTTAAAAACCAACACCGGCAAGCTGGGCGTGGTAGCACACGCCTGTAATCCCAGCACTCAAGAGGCTGAGGCAGGAGGTTCCCCATGAGTTTGAGGCCAGCCTGGGCTACCTAGTTCAAGGCCAGCCTGAATGACATACCAAAACCCTGTTTCAAAAAACAAACAAACAAACAGAACCTTAAAAACCAATTCTTCCCTCACGATGTATTTACTATGTACTGGCAACAGGTACTAATATAAAAAATTTTAAAAACTAGTTCATTAGACTAAGGAAAACAGAGTTTTAATTCTAAATTATCCATAAAACTTAATAAAACATAAAAATACGAACTTTTAAAATATGCACAATATGGCAATTTTTTATCTCTCAATTTCAAAGATATATAAAATAGGACAGTATGTCAATTATGACTTCATTAGTGCCTAGTTTCAACAAAACTGTGGAGTAAGTTCTAAATATTTCGTATCTAAACTGAACTGTCCATGAAACTATGGGATGATATGCGTGTGTGTGTGTGAGGTAAATAATCCCTATCTGCTATCAATGCAAATCAACAACTCCATATAGATAGTAAATAATAAAAATAGGATAATAGTATGTACATCATTTTCAGAATCTACTACTTTTGAATATATTTAATAATTTCTAACTCTTGAATGGATGAGTAAGCACATTATCAGACACTATGCTGATTGTTTTACATTTAATTTCTATAATTTTCACCACAAAACTTGAAATTCATTACTATTATTTACCTACTTCTATAAATGAGAAACAGCTATCCCAAAGTCATGATTTTTGATGGTACCGAGCTACTTTGACAAGATGTGGAAGAACCATAATCTTATACCAGGATACGACAAATCATTTTACAAAGATCAGGCAATTCTCCAACTTCCAAATTCTTAAATAAAAATTACAGTTGATCTAGTTAGAAATGTGTTTATTAACTGCCTCCATCTTATCTTGGTTAAAACTTCCACATTACTAGTCATGATATTCAGACTACTTTTTAGTAGATAATTACTCAATCAAAACTGAATAAAGTACTAGTTGTGGATGTATATCTTTTTCAACTTACTCATTTAACAAGTACTCATCTATCAAGAGATACTATGAAAGATATGAAGCATAACAGATGTACACTACAATAGTGCCCTGAACTATTTTTCAAAAGTCACACTTTCTAATGCAGAAACAACTCCAGACATGCTCAGGTAGCTCATCTTTGACAAAGGAGCCAACTACCCTCACTGGAGGAAAGATAGCCTGTTTAATAAATGATATGCCAAAATAGTTCAACCTGCCAAAGATTAAAACTACACCCATATCTATCACCATGCACTAAACTAAAATCAAAATGGATTAAAGATCTAAATATTGAGACAGAAACACTAAACTTGCTGGAAGATAAGTTAGGTAGAACTCTTGAAGACATTGGCATAGGAAAAGACTTTATGAACAAAACCTCAGTAGCACAGACACTAGCACAAAGAATCAACAAATGGGATCTCATCTTATTAAAAAGCTTCTGCACTGCAAGAGAAACCACCAACAGAGCTAAGAAACAACCTAAAATGTGGGGAAAAAATTTTAGCGGCTGTACTTCAGACAAAGGGCTACTATCTAGAATATAAAAAGAACTGAAAAATATCAGACCCCCAAATTTAAAGACCCAATTCAAAACTGGGCAACTGAAATGAACAGACATTTCTCAGACAAAGCAGTAAAAGCAGTAAATAAATATATGGAAAAATGTTCAACATCACTGGTCATTTGAGAGATCCAGATGAAAACAACACTAAGATTCCACCTCACCCCAGAAAGAATGGCTGCTATCAAGAAATCAACCAATAACAAATGCTGGTGCAGGTGTGAGGAGAAAGGAACACTTCTCCATTGTTGGTGCGAGTGCAGACTCGTGCAACCACTGTGGAAATCAGTATGGAGATACCTCAAAGAACCAACACTAGAGGTCCCATTTGACCCAGCTATTCCCCTGCTGGGGATCTTCCCCAAAGAATTAAGAGAATCATACCACAGTGCTATCTGTGCACCCATGTTTATAGCAGCACAGTTCGTAATAGCTAAAGCTTGGAAACAGCCCAAGTGCCCATCAACTGGAAACTGGATAAAGAAGATGTGTTTTTTTTATAAAATGGAGTACTACTCAGCCATAAAGAATGAGAAACTAGAGACATTTATAGCTAAATGGATACATATTGAGGCCATATTCTTAAGTGAAATAAATAGGACACACATGTGTAAATACTAAATAGCTTCTCTGGTGTGAGAAACTGAAAGTGTAAATAAGGATTAAAATAATTAAAATGAATAATTGATAATTTGAAACAGGAAGAAAAGTCCAAAGGGGTAGGGAAAGTTGGAAGGGAAGGGAAAAGGTAAGAAGGGAAAGGAAAAATTATGAGAAAAGGAAAAAATGGAAATAAAGTGTTTGTAAATAGGGAAGGTGGAGGGGGGTGAAGGGAGGACAGGGAATGGGGAAAAAATAAGAACCAAGATAGATCATGTACAGGTTCAAGCACCCAATGATAAATGTAAACATATCGTATACCGAAAATGTACCAATAAAACAATTTAAGCAAAAAAAAAAAAGTCACCCTTTCTACAGTTATTTTATTAGGTAAATGTAAAAGTATAACAAAATACTCACTCATCGATTTGACAAACACACATCTCCACCTCTTTCAATGCAGTCTGAAGTTTGCCCAGCAGTTTCTGATAGATATCTTGAGTCTCTAAGTCTTCTTCTTTTAACAAATACCGGAGACCGTGGCCACCTTGCTGTCCCAGAGACAGACCCGAGGGGGCTGCCATGGTTGTAATTGTATGCTGAATGTACACCATAGGGCTCAGTTTCCCTGAAGAATTAAACACACTCTGTTAAAAATCACATTCCATAGCTGTGATACCAGTATCACAGCTGCCTAGTCCTGTATATTTTAGATGTCCAAGCTTATATAAAATACAATGCCAATCCAGAGCTGAATTTAATTCAGAATTAAAGTTTGTGGAGAATTGTAATTAAAATCTACAACTAGTTCAATCCCTTGTCCTCTGTAATGGTGAAGAATGGCACTTCACATCCTTTGATATTTTTCTCTAAGTTATAGGGTCATTTCATATTACTGGCTTTCACAGCAGATGAGGTGTGCCTATCATAAATACAAGGAAGGCCAAAAAAAAAAAAAAAAAAAGCCCTTCCTAAAAGGAACATAATGAAAATGCTCAACTCTATTTTCATTCTGCAGATGCTTAAAGGTAGGCTTGCTTGCAAACCAGGAATCTATCAAATTTTAAGGGGCAGGAATAGCTGCAATTGCCTAAATTACTTTGTATGATTTGATAACATTTCAAAAGCTAACATACCTTGATCAGAAGATTTATTTTCTTTATCATGAGAATTATGTTTCCTATTATCCAACTGAACACCAAAGGCACTCCCTAGGGAGGTTGATGTTTTAGGATAAGAAACTTCCATCACATTGATATGGCAGTTGGTAGGGCAGAAATCACTGCTGTGCAATGGAGAGATTTTAGATTTGGCTTGTTTAAAGGTGGGCCAGGATCTGTTCTTCAGCACACGAGAGAACTGCAAATTAAAGAAGAAATAAAAAGTACTTGAATACACAATAATAACACAAACATTTCACCTGCATTGTTCGTAACAAAATCAACAGAAAATTAAATCATGTCAACTGACACAAGTGAAATAAATTAAAAGTTTTTAGAAATTAAATTTTTATTTCAAAATGCAAACTCTTTTTTTCATGGTACTAGATTGAAACCAAGCCCTTGGCTCTGAATTACATCACCACACACACCCCCAAACCAACACACATACATCATTTTTTTAATCTTTTATTTTGAGATGGAGTCTTTCTAAGTTGCCCAGGCTGGGCTAAAACATTTGCCTCCTGCCTCAGCCTCCCAGAGTTCTGGGATTACAGGTGTGTGCCAGAAGATCCAACTACCCCAACAATAAAGCAAAATAACAGAAGCAAAAAGTACATATTATTTAGTAGTTGAGAGAGTGTAATAAAGAAAACAGCATTCGAGGGTACCAGGATAGGAAGCAGATCTTAAAAACAAGGCAAGATAACAAAGCAATATAGATATCAAGTCAAGAGTAGGAGAAGAAGGTAATATTTCAAATATTATTAGAAAGCCGACCCAAAGCATGGTTCTGTATCCAGGCCAGAAAGTCAGGTATGGTGGTGTTGACCCAGAATGAAAGGATAATTGTACTTCCCATACCTCCTCTAATCATAAATGAGATCTTGGGTCAGAATCAACTTGAAGACTAGTTTTGATGCCACAGACAATAAAGTGATACTGAAATGATTTATGACTTCCAAGGGTAGCTGCTCCATTAGTTCAAACCTTGCAATGGGGTTTTCCATTCAAATCCTTCTACACAGTTGCCCAAAATTTGATCTTCACCCAGTTTATCCATATAACTATATATAACATATATAACATGTATATATACGTATATATAAACAAACATATGACTTTCTCATAGTTTCTCTCATATATTATCTATCTACTCACTGTGCCTTTGTACTAGAATTTTCTCCTTCCTTCACTGCCAAACTTGTTCCTGTGCATCTTTAGAATCTAGCAAATCATCATGTGGCCTTCCCTGAGTCCTAAACCAGGTTCCACTTTCCTAGTTATATGCTACATTATAGCACACTGTAATTTTCTTTATCATTATAAATAATTTCTTGTCTTTTGCTCACCTGGTGGATGTCAAGCATCATAATGGTAATAAGCACAGCTGTCTGTGTATTATAAACAGATGTCACATAGAGTTAAACTGAACCTTAGTCTCAAAAGCAAAGGACTGAGAGACCTTGGCTACTTTGGAGTGAGGTGCAGCTAGCAGAGTGACAAATAAAATGTAAGGCAAATCAGTATCTTGTACTATTCTTAGTAAGAGAGGGGAAAATGTAGTAAGTCAACTGTATAATGTGAGAAGACGATAAATATAATTGAAACAAAATAGAGCAGAGTGAACGGGTTGGAGCTTCAGGGACGAAGCGAAGACTGGATGGCCAGTTGTAACTGAGTAGTCAGGGAAGACCTCCCTGAAGGGTTGTCATTTAGGCAAAATCTCAAAGGAAGGGGAAGAGTAAGGAATGTGGATATCTAGACAGAAGCATCTGATGGGCAGAAGAGCTAGTGCAAAAGCCCCAGGGTGGGTGTGTTCAAGGAATACCACAGAGAAGATGGTAAATGGGAAGGCAAAGGGCCAGAGCAACGGAGAGGTACATGGTATAGGGAGGCACACATTCTGTGGGATCTGGCAGGCCTTAACAAACTGGGTGGGCACAGGTGGGAGCAGGGACAATTTACAGGAGAAAGATGACAATGGCTCACCCTAGACCATGAGTGACAAGAAGCAGGGAGAAAAGGCTGCGCAGTCTGCAGGTAAAGACAAAAGAATGCAAGAGAAACGGGATGGAAAATGTATTCAGTGGCAGAATGCATATAAACCTGAGGCAGACAAGACAACAGGCAGGACACACTGCAGAGGGTAGAATCAGGAATTGCCACCAACAAGAAAGGACAAGAGCCAGGCACTTGTATTGCTACAGAGAATTTCTAAAGAAAGGTTCAAGGTCAATTGCGTCAGGTGCTATGAAGATAAAGAATACAATGAAGACTGTGATTAGGCTTTGAAAAAATATAGCCATTAAGATACACAGCAGGGACATGGGACCAACTGGAGTGTACTGAGGAGAAGGTAACTGAGACATAGGTTCTGACAGTAGGTACAGAGAGCTCTTTTCAGGAAAGAGGTCAAAGAAATGGAACACTAGGTAGAGAAGAGTGTGGTGGGCAATGTATAATAAATGATACAAAGAAATAGTGTAAAGGAATATTTGCACATTGACAAGAATAAACAAATATTGGAGATAAGACTTCAAATTTTAATGCATTGGCAGCTTATTAATAAATCATTGACCATGGCAAGATATTTAAATCCAATTACAATCATTTGGCTAACAGTCAGAAATAACACAAAGGCAGGCTATTGTGCAGATAGTTAAGCCAATTAAGTATAAAACTTATTTGGACTGAAGTTATGAAAGTTCCGTATTTACTCTTTACACTCTGCCTTTCCTTTCTCCTTCATCTAGGGTGTTATAACTTTGACATGGTGAGCAAGCTTTGACCCTGGAGAAGAGGCCAATATCCTAGAAAAAAGAGCAAAAATATAATTTGGAGAAGATTCCTAAAGAATTGTCAAGCCCTGCCCCACTAAACTCCTGTCAGGTTGAACTTCTATGTGAATGAAAAATAAATCTATCTTGTTTCATCCTCTGCTATCTTCATCTTTCATAATGCAGCTTCATCAATCTTGATTCTAGTTTTTAAATATTGTTTAGCCCTTACATATACATTTCTTTAAGCTATTTCCAGTGTTTTTGTTGGATGAAATGATGGAGATAAGTAAGAAGAAAAGCAAAGAAATGAAAGAAAATGACACAGACACAGTGAGCGGTTTGACACTTGCAATCCATCTGATCCCGTACACATCCTCTACAGATCTATCTTGATGCAGAATAACTCTTTTTCAAATGTGTTCAAAAGGAGAATAATACGAATTTGCATTTGCTTAAAGCCTTTACATGTTACTTCAAAACCCTGTCACATCCTACACAGGAAGGAGAAGTAAAAGGAGAATTTCCTCTCCTTCAATATCCAAAAAAGGCACATTTGTAGACTGTTGCCAAATGCAAGTAGGTAAGCTGAGCTCATCAGTCGTGGAAAGAGGACAAACAGACAGGTCAGCGATCCTGAGATCACTCTCGGTTATGTGACTGGACTTCAAAAAAATTAAAACAGCAATGCACACTTAAATCAAATACTACAAGACATGCTTGAAGAAAAAAATAATGATCCCTCCCTCTTTTTCCTTCATCTCAGTCTGCCTGCTGTAACCAACTAGACAGTCCCTTGGATTTTCACACATGTGCATCCCTGTTCTCATTTACACAAATACAGGTTTATTTTCACTTACAATACCAAGAACATAAAATACAGTCAAATAATATTCATTTACTGTATAACATAATATTCTCAAGTGTGGAAGTACAAAATTATAAGCAACTACACTCTTTGAGACAAAAATTTAATTACTCTCCTACTGATACAAATAAAATAAAAATTTAATTTTTATATGTTATGTTTGGAGATCAATTTTCATTAATTCTAAGTTCAAATATATATCCCCAAATCCTTCTAATTTTCTGTCTCCTCCATCTTCACTGCAGTCCAAGCTATTATCACTGCTCTCCTGGATTATCATAATTGTTTCTAACTTCTTGATTTCTCCCTTTTTACTCTTTGAAGCCTGTTCTTACAAAAACATGCCCTCTCAAAACCCTACATTAAATGATGTTATCCACCTGCTTAAAACCTTCCAATTGGTTTTGTTGGCAGAAGAACAAAATCCAATTCCTCCCAAAGCTCCAAAATGCACAATACTTCCAGAGCTCTTTGTTAGCTCCTGCTGAAGTCTCTGACTCATCTGCCCACCTGGCCTTTTCTTTCTCCTTTGGGGCCTCTGTACCACCAGTTGATTTTACCAAGATGTTTCCCCTCCAATTCAAATGGAAGGTTCTACCTGTCATTCAGAAACAAGTTTTTTAAAGAGGTTTTCTCTAGCCACCCAATCTAAAACGACCCCCGGCACTGCCCACTACACCTATTTTGATTTCCTCATAACTCTTTTCAATGTTTGAGTACCCTACTTTGTAGAGATTCATTTACTTCATTGCTGTCTCCTCCACACAAATGTGAGCATCATGAGAGGTGAAATCTTGTCTGTCTTGCTCCTGGCTATATTCCTGGTACTTAGAATAGTGTTTGGCACATAGAAAGTACTTGACAAATAAATGGCAAAATGAATATACCAATCGATCAACTTAAAATGCCTATTTTTCACATACTTTCTGATTGAGGCCTTCCATTCTTTTTGCTGGAAAAAAAGGGGAAAAAAAGGCTATCATGTAATTTTAAAATTTGACTTCAGAATTAGATATCTGCATTTAAAACCCAGTTCTTTTATGAGAAAGTAGTTCTTCATACCGCAGTTGCTTTTTTGAAAATGATGGAAATAACACACCTCAGAGGCTTGCAAAGGTTCAAATGAGGAAGTAGAGACACTGAAAACTAACACTAACCTGTCACTGGTATGGTTTGAATGTGTTGCCCCAAAATTCACGTGCTGCAACCTTACTCCCCAAATTCATTTATGAATGAACAGTACTTGCAGGTGAGGCTTTTAGGGAGTAATTAAAATTAGGAACTAAATCATGAGGTGGAGCCCTCATGATGGCGCTAGTGGCTTTAAAACAAGAGAGTGAGATCTGAGGTAGCAGGAGCTCGGCTCACCATGTGATACCCTCCTACATTATAATGCAGTAAAAAGCCCCTGACCAGATGCCAGCTCCTCAATGCTGGACTTCCTAGCCTCCAGAACCGTGGGATAATAAACTTCTATATAAACTACAGTACCTGGTCTCAAGAGTTTTCTTACAGCAACATTAAACAGACTAGGATATTTATACAATGTTACCATTACTTCAAAAATTGGTACCTGACAAATATGAGAATAGCTTTAATTGGACATTTGAATAATAATTTCACTAATAATTACATTAAGTTTTTATAAGATCTTTACCTTTTTATAACTGGATATTCTATGACGTATGTGCTCAATTCTTTTACTGCAAATGGCATTGAATTTACTCTGAAGGTCAGCAGGAATCACTTCATTTAGAGAATTAAGGTTGGTGCAGTTTTGTACAAAATGATCATCACTTTTAGCCAGGGCTTCAAGAATCTATAGTGATAAATGTACACAAAACAAAACAAACTTCAAAAGTAGACACACAAAATTTTCAAAAGTTTACACTACAGTGTGACTTTCCTGTATTGGTCTTTTCTTAGCAGCTCGCCAGGATTTCCATGTTCAGTGAGACATTGTCACTGAAGTGACCGGTCATGTCTGCCTAGAATATCAGGTTTCACCTTCTGCTGACTATAAAAGCCTTCCTGGGGAGACAAGGAGTCTTCAAAGGTTCCCTGCTGCATACATCAGTACATTCTGATGTGGGAACACATCTCTATTTTACTCAGTCACTCAAAATATTTCTTTTTCTCAATTGTGTAGTAGAACAAAAAAGCAAAGGAAAGCAATAGTGTCTTTACTTGTAACTGAGAACCAAGCACATATTGTGCAATTAAGAAATGCTCACTGAAGGGATAAATAAATGAACAGTTATCTTGGTAAAGAATAAATTAATATTTATGCAATGTCTGAGCTCTTGCTAGCTGGTAAGACCATCAAACAGTATCCATATGATGTTTACAACCAGCAAATATTCTTGTATATGTGAGTCAATTGTAAGTCTATGTGTGAGAATATATTACATCACTGAGAATTTCCAATGAATTGAAATTATGCACTATATTAATTTGCAGCATTAATGATTGTTCAGCGATCACAAGGACGGACTATACCTTTAAACAATATTTTTATAGTACTCTGCAAGACAAAATGCATCAGTGTTATATTTTCTTCAGCTCTCTTACCATCTCCACTTTTCTGTTATGCTGAAAAGGGAGATTTTGTTTAAGTACCAACATTAAAGAGAGCTGCTTTTATCCTTAGCAGTATGGTTCTGGCTAACTTTCTTAGCTTCTTTGACTTTCTTCATGTGTAAAATGGAAATGATACCTACAATACTAGTTTATATAGTTATCATATACAGACTAATGCATGTAATTTTACAAACTTGAAATAGCTGGAAAATAAGATAAAATGTAATATCCTGGCCCTGGACTCTTAGACAGATCCTATTAATTGCACAATACAGTTGAAAAGAGAGTGCACTTTGAAAATATTTACTTTATAACAACAGTGGCAAAATGATGAGATGTTTTAAAGTTGATTTTCAGAATATAAAATGAAAAGAGAAAATAATTATTTTTAATATAACTCATTTGGATTTCTATATTACCTTCTCATATGACATTTTTTTAAAAATACATGTAATAAATGGTAACTATCTCAACTAGAGGTTATTTGAAACAAGAATTAAAATTTTAAAATATAGGTATAGGATCTATATCTCATTATGCTGACTTGTAATATGTGAATTCTCAGAGGATGATATAAAAGTAGAACAAAATACTAAATCTCAGACCTACAGATGGTACAGTAAGAGCCTCTTATCTTTTAAAAGGGCCATGAAAAGGAAACATAGAGTCACCTCTTCCAAAAACATTTTATCCACTGAATATAAACTACCTTCTTGTTTCACCATCTTGGCTTTTGCCTAAGGACCTCATGGTGATATCCTTCCAAATGAGAATTCTACAAATATCTGTGGACCTATTCATAAACTGATGTCTAGGCTTCCTGCAATTTTTGACAACACACGTGAAATTTCTTACAATGTACATATTTTGTGGCTTCAAGTACTCATCAGAGTATAATGCACATTAAAAAACATAACATCCTAAAAACCATCTGAAACATAGTCACAATGCTTCACTGACTGATGCAACAAACTTAATCAGTGCAATGACCTCTTTGTCTCATCAACTAACACTTTACTGTTGAAGAGTCTCATCTAAACACTGTGCTCACAAAGGATCAATAAAAGGAAGACTGTGCCCATGCTTAATAATGGGAGAAAAGAAAAGGGAGTTGAATGAACTCTCATCTGCAACATGTACAGCCATTCCCTTTTTTAAAGCGGGGGGCGTGAGGGGCTCAATTGCTTCACTTACAACAAAGATCCTGCTGTCACAGGGTCACTCATACCTTGGCAGTTAAACTGAAGAATCCTTTGGGCTCAATCATCTTCTCCACCACATTGCACTTGATCCCAGCCGTGCTGTCATACTCGTATACCACTCCGTATTCCAGGTGGACATTGTCCACTGTCAGACTCACGTGTTCCTTCTTCCCATCAATGATGGCCATGGTGTTGAACTTGTCAATCGCCTCTGGAATACAGGCTGTTTCAAATCAGCAAATTCGTGAAGGGTTGGTTCATTTCCTTAAATAATTTTGAGTCTCTAAATAATTTTTTAAAACTTCTTTAAGGCATGGCTAAATCTGATGTGCTAAAGGAAGCATCTATTCTTGTTAACATTTTGAAAAACAACAATTTTCCAAAAAACTACATGAATGATCAAAATCTCACTACCTTAACATGACCAATATAATCTGTATCATCCACTTTGAACTGTGGACCATTTGTAGACTTATTTGTACCAATGCAAACATTATAGATATAGTTTTGTATTTCTTTTGATTGTTTATTAAACGTTTGCATGACTTAAAATCAAGGTTTCTAAAACACCCTCAAATATTAGATGAATATTTTCTCAAAGCAGCATAAACACTTTACAAAGATGGTCATATTGAAGAAACAGAAAGTATATGCAGGAATCATTTATTCAGCAGAGAAGATGCCTAAAGTTTCCAAATAGATCCTGAAGACAGAGCTCATTGAGAAAATTTGTCATTGCTTCCTGCACTAAAATTTCAATCTGAAATGTCTGCCTGTATGTTTTTTAAAACCTACAATCAATCAGCTAACCAAAAAATGCCTAACATCTCAAGTGAAAAACTGTCAGGAGACCTAACAGTAAATATTAAATAAGAGAAAATGATATTAGTATATGTAAAAAAATTCTTATAATGGGACAGTAAGCCATAAAAATTATACAGACTAAAGTAGCACATCAGTTTACCTTAAAGTGAGTAAGCCCCAAAACAGTCAGATCAACCAATCTACCTTTCAATTTGGTACCAATGCTGATTTATTTCAAATGAGGAATAAAACCTCAAGATAAGGTTCTGAGGCTTTTCTTATTTTAAACAAAAGACACTGTATATTATTATGACAGTTTTACTGCTCAAAAAGGGTGAGATATTTCTGATATTACCAAAAGATTACCAAGCATGCAGCCTTCCAAGAATGGAGGGAAAACAGATTTCCTAGGTACCTCTCATATGATCAGCATATACAGATGTAATACAATATGAAATGTATACTTGGTCTTTGGCCCATGTTCTGCAAAAAAGGCTTCCAAAATCCTTATAATCTCCCAAGCAACAGAGATGATGGGGATGTCTTTTGTTATTCATTCTAAGCTCCTTTCAAACATACCCAGGTTTATATGGATGAGGTAATCCCTGGTGAGCTCCTACCAGACTTCAAGGTGGGGACTGGTTGTCAGAGTGATCAGCAATGTGATTATGGGTTGGTAATTTCAGGGTCACCCCTAGTCCTCTGTTCAATAACCAACAGTCAGAGATAAAGTCACTCTTGTCACATAATGGACCTCTATAAAATCCCCAAAATGATAGGGATAGGAGAGCTTCCAAATCGCAGAACACAGCCACATACCAGGAGGAAGGCACACTCCAACCCTATGGGGACAGATTTCCCATGCTGGACACCCTTCCAGACCCAGAGCACCTCTCTGTCTCGCTGTTCATTTGTTATCCTTTGTAATAAATCTGTGATAGTAAATAAACTGTCTTACAGAATTCGATGAATCATTCTCACAAATTGCTGGACTCAAGAAAATATGGTAGGAAACCTGTACTTAAGAGTCCAGTTAGTCAGAAATACAGGTGAAAATTTGGGACTTGCAAAAGGCACACGAAGTGAGGGCATTCTTGACAGACTGAACTCTTTACCATGGGGCCTGTGCCAACTCCTGGCAGTCAGTATGAGAACTGAAGTGCAGAACACTCAGCTGGTGTCTGGAGAGGAGGCAAACTGCTTCGTGTGGAGGAAAAATCCCCACACATATGGTGTCAGTAATATGTGCTCAAATAGTAGATTAATTGGCTGTACTGGTTTGGAAGAAACTAGTGATATAATAAAAAACTGATAGACACCTATCAATAGTACAACTGGAAAAGCACTAGGAAAATCCAAGAAAGGACATAAGGACTCCTGTTTAAAAAGTTCTGAAGCAATAACTCAAGGTATTTGTCAAATGTAGACATAATATAATTTCCATGGTTGCCCTTGGCAAAGAAGCCACTAAATATGGACATTTGCTGCTGGAATGCTCCTCTCAGGAAACAGAAATGACAAGATCTTTATTAAAAGTATCCTCTCTCTCTCTCTCTCTCTCTCCATTGTTTGTTTCTTTCCTGACTGTCAGTGTTAGAATACAGTAAGAGTTCCTTAAATCAAGACATTTTTAGAGGATCTATGGAAATTCAAGACAAGGGGTTCTCAATGTTTTTTATAAAGTTTATTGTTACATTTTAGGTATAAAATATAGTTACATTCATCATTGAGATCTTGTACCTTCACATGATATATCTTGGTTCTTATTTTTTCCCCATTCCGCTGCCCTCCCTTTACCCCCTCCACACTTCCCTATTTTCAAAGACTTTGTTTCCATTTTTTTTCCATTTCTTATATTTTTTTCTTTTCCCTTCTTTCCTTCTCCCTACCCCTCCCACTTCCCCTACTCCTTTAGACCTTTTCTTCCTATTACACAATATCAATTATACATTTTTGATTACAATATCAAGATTTAAAGGACATTACCACAGATTTTACAGAATTTAGAAGGATATTGAAAGCATATTACAAAAATCTTTTTTGAAATAAATTTGACAACTTCTATGAAGTACCTTGGAAGACAAATTAATGAAACTGACTCTGGAAGAAATATAAAATTTGAATAGTACCTATTAAAGAAAGTATATTTCTAGCTTGAAAACCTACCTATATGACAACAACAGGGTCATATACATTTTAACTGATGAATTACATCAAACATTCAAAGCAGAAAAAAGAAGGAATACTTCTCCCCTCATTTTAGGAAATCAACATTGTGCTAATCCTAAAACTGGATAAAGATAATAGAAGAAAAAAGTATGAAAATAGATAGAAATTTGTTTAACAAAACAATTAGAAGCCAATAGCTTCTAGGCCTTTTGGCTAAGATCAAGTGTGTAGAAGTCAGATCTGGCAGTATGTAGAAAGTGGTTTTATTATAGGGATGGCAGTGTTGGTTCAGCATTGGAAGATCCAACCCTCTAAGTCATCAATTTAACAGAAGAAGGGAAAAAGCCATATGATCCTATCAGTAGTTGCAGAAAAAGTATTGGACTAAATTCTACAGCTATTCATGGTAAAAGCTATCAGGAGACTAGAAGTAGAACAGAACCTTCTCAACAGATCAAAGACATGTACTCCATACTTCCAGCAAAAACGCTTTATATGAATGGAAAAGATAAAATGATTTCTTGCTAAGGTGGGGAACAAGGGCAGATATGCCTACTCTTCATCTGTCCATTAAACTTTGAAACATAGGCCTAAACCAAAATAGTCTAGCAATAAAAAGAAACAAATAGCATAGGATTGGCAAGGTAGAGGTAAAATCTTTATATGTAGATGAAATAAATGATCACCTACAGAGAAAATACTAAGAAATCTCTAGGACCCCCTGGAACTAAATTTGAATTTGGCAAGATTAGAAAACACAAGTTATATATAAAAATTCAGGTCTAGGTATACTTGCTATAAATGAAGAACTGGATATTGAAAAAAAATAACAATGTTGGAAGACATTTATTATCTAATTTTTTTTTTGATAACGGGGATCAAACTTGGGACCTTGTCCTTGCAAGAAAGGTGGCAGAACCACTAAGCTAAATCCCTGGCCCATTTATTACCTAATTTTAAGACTTCCTCTAAAGCTACAATAAGTAAGGCAATGTTGGCATAAGGAAAGACATACAGAATAATGGAATAACAGAGAATCTAGAAATAGAACCACACATATATGGTCAACTGATTTTTGAAAGATTATTTAACATTAACATTTTATAGAACATAAACTCAAGAGCAGAGGAAAAGATAGTGTTTTCAACAAAGGATCCTAGAACACCTAGTATCCATACGTAAAAAATTAACCTCAACCCTTTATTTCCATACATAAAAATAAGTTGAAAGAATCTATGAACCTAAATATGAATCACTAAAACTATAAGACTTTAAGAAGAAATTATAAGGGAAAATGATCATGAATTTAGGGTAGGAAAGAATTTCCTAGGATATAAAAAACATAATGTATAAAAAAATTGATAAGTGAGATTCCATCAAAATTTAGAACTTTAAAAGCATTAAGAAAATGAAAAGTAGTCCTTAAACACAACATATTTAGAATATCTATAACCTACGACCAGAATATATAAAGAACTCTTACAGCTCATTAACAGACAACCCAATTAAAAAGTAGACACAAGAAGATGATAAATAGCCAGTACAGCACAAGGAAAGGTGTGCAACACTAGAATCAGAACAACACTAATCAGTATAACAAGATCGTTAATACACTCATAAGGGAGATGAAGTTAAAAGTTTTAAAAGAATAAATATCAGCCAGCTTAGGTGTGAACCAGTTAGAACTTTTTAATACTGCTAATGTGAATGTAAAATGATAAAATCATTTTGGAAAACAATATAGAAATTTCTTGCATTACTGTTAAGGACCAACAGTTCTGTTCTTAAGTTTTTACTTAAAGAGAAATGAAAACACATGTTCGTAATAGATTTGTACATACAAGTTGACTATCCCTTATCTGACATTCTTGGGGGCCAGAAGTGTTTCAGATTTTGGTTTAAAATCCACTTGATCTGCAAAGAGGATGGCTACTTCTGCTTTTTTTCAG